GACTGAAAAACTGAAAAATCCGCTACCACTCATTTGCTTTTTCCATTCCTTTACGAATTGTGTTTGTGATTATGTGAAAATCGTTTGTTGAAGCTTTACTTTATGTTCCTCACATGTCGTTGCTATAGAAGAAAACTATTGTTTTGTTTACTAACGGCGTGAAGTTTCGATTTTAATGAAAGAAGACTTTGTTTCACTTCGACAAGTTTTTGAGAAATTTGTGAACTTCAAAGTTTGTGCGTATAATCCACTTTTACTTTTTCGCTTTCAAACAGCATATCAACATTTATCACTGGGACTGATAAAATTCTGTGTGTTGCACGTACATAGCATCGGTCGAATAAAGTAGTAAATACGGAAATAGGGGATAGACTCGTAGTTTGGTGGGATTCATTGGAGATCATTGATGTGTCTGGCTTTTCAAAGTTCTTCAGAGTTCGATAAGAAGATCATTCTTGTGCTTGTCCTTGCTGTTGTTCGAGGGCTTCGACAAGCTGGGCGATCTCTTCATCCTAAAATTTTGTCAAATCAGCAGTTAGAATTAGCTCGATTAAATTTTCAGCATCTGTCTGAGTCTAAAGCTGCTGAAACCAGCAGCTTTCCTACAAATCCTGGCTCATTCACTCTTCATTGAAAAGGACACAAAAATCGCACCTAACAATAAAAATTCACAGAAAAATACCTTTCCGTAGCTTCTGGAAGAGCTAAGTTTTTCAAAAACCATCGATTATTACAATCTCTGCCACTTTAGCTCAAATTTTCCTAAATTAGCTACAAAATCGTTGACAGCAATAAATGCTCCAGCAGAAAGGCTGTGATTGAAGCGTTGTCAAAGGGCGCCAGTATGGCGATGACACTATGAAATAATAAAGAACAATGAACAATAGCTCGTTTTTTCTTCATAATTAGGTCTATTTACAGTAGTCGGCAGAAATATGCATACATACTTCAGACTTTGATATGTGATCTTTTTTTCTTCAGTTTGTTTTCTCTAACAGAACCTACCGATGGCTGTTCATCAGTCAGTGGCTTCAGAGCGAAATCCACTACCATAGCGCTATCACGAACCTTGTTGGTGACGGTAACCTAGAAGAAGTCAAAAATTTTAGAGATCAAATTGGATATTCGTAGCACAGAGTTCTGCAAAACTCACATTACGGGAGGCAGATTCGTAGCCATCAGCATGGACAATGACTTCATATTTGCCGGCTGGTAGGATACGGTAGTAGTCTCCGAGAAGCCCTTTAACAATATGTTCAGGATGCCAAAAGCCCAAAAATACCAGCATATGATTTATGCCTTAGTAAATGCCTTCCAAGTCGAAGAAATTATCTTGTTAGAACTTTAAACTCATCACCGTGTGAAAATTACTTACATGAAGTAACTGGATGACGGATTGGTAATGGATCTGTACCATTGCGGATCCACACAACAGCTTCGTTGATTGGTTCACCGGTAACAGCATCAGTAATCAGTCCTTTGATTCCAGCATGAGACTGAAATTGTTTCAATTTGTAATGAAAACTGTTGATCTTTCCTGCGAAGACAAATTGTTTCAAATCTTTGTCTCAAAAATAATAAAAAAAGGTATCATTCATTTAAGAAAGGCGGGTATCATCTATATCACTTATTTACCAAACAATGATTTTTTGCGTTTACCATGATTTCGAAAAAGAGAGCTCGTTTCCAAGATTTTGTGGTACTATTTTGCATCTATCTGAAAAATGTTCCTTCAACGAACTTGTCGGAGGTCTAGAGGATTTCTTTCTTTTTCATTCTCCCACTCCCCCTCTTTCTCTTTCTTTTTTCCTCTCTCTCTTAGTAAGAGTCGGATTATAAGACTGTGAAGTACTCAACTCTCTTACAAAGCACAATTTATCGTGATAAATCGCAAACTCGAGCTCACCGCGAACATGAACTCCATCAGAGCTTTTTTGTTATCTTCCCAAAACTGTGGCAATTCCTTTCCAGGAGGCATCTAAAATCAACTATATTGTTTTCGAATAAGTAGCATTGCTAAATATCATTTGGCATGAAGACCAGTATTGAGTAATCCAGGAAGCACACCCAATTTGAACACAAACCTTCTCACAGCTAAGTTCCAAGGTGAGTTCCATGGCATTGGTAGCGAGGTAGTTGAAGTCTTGCATTCCACCCGATACAGAATACCATTTAGCACCATTGGTAATTCCGCCTAAATAGATATACAAATCTTCGAGACATAGACTGTGATCGCTTAGATAGCTGTACAATTATGATAAAAAACAAAATTTGCTTTTCCTTGCTAACACGGTTTGATTGACTCACCTTGTGTGGCAAATGCATCCTTAGTGGTTCCGTCACATGGTGGGTGATCATTCTTAGCCATATGAGCATGGTTTTTAGCATAATTTTGTGCAAGCCACCTAAATAGGTGTACCATATACCAGGACGACAAGATTCAAATCAGTTTTGTAGCCTGATTCATACGAAGACGATTTACCTACAAACAACAACTCAACTATCAAGTTTGTAGAATGTATAAATGCTATTTTGAAGAAACTTGAAGCAGCCGTCTGCATCTATTTAAAATTCCTTTTTTATTCTGAGCTATAGAATAGCTGTAGTTGGAATGAGCCTCCTATTATGCTCCTAATTAGAACGTATGTTATGTGACTCTTTCAGTTACACGCAAGTATACTTTTGCTTAGGTTATGTTGTGTTGACATTTATGAAATTTAATTCTTAGCGGTAGCATAGATTCATGTTTTTCCAGTGCGTTTATCATATCTCAATCCGATTATCTCAAAAAAAAAGAAGCCTAGCTTTTTGCTTACCTGAACGTGCCATCATCGGGGCTAGCGCTATACTGGCTGATACCCTCTAGCTTAGTAGAATCGAACGGATAGTTGGCAACAAGGTCACCTTCATGTAGATTGGCTGACAGTACAAATGGTAATGACAGTGTCCACTGGCCAACAGCTATCGTCTCCGGTTGTCGCTAGATTTGAAAATTTTGATTTAGAGGTATCATAACTTATTTTTAACCAATGCACAGTTTCGTCAATTGTTGCTCTTAATTAATTTTGTGTTCTAACATTTGTTTTGTTTTTCGGGGTCGTAGCCGTGGGAGCGACAACTCGAGGTACAAAAGAACGTAGCAACACATAAAAATATGTTATAAAGGAAACAATTTGAACCTCTTTGATGGATTCACAGAAAAAAGGAGAACGTTCGGGAACAAAGTTGCTTTTCTGTGAACTTTTTTGTACGTGTAACCGAAAAATTTAATTAATAAAATAGCATTTATTATTCGCTTAGTTGTGTACAGGATTAATTGACTTATATAATGATTTCTTTACCTCTTTGTCATCAGCGAAGAGCTCCATGAGATGATCGAATTTTGGAACTTTCATCTTTTCTAGTTCATAGAAGACTCCGTCCAAATCCGGAAAGTCTCTGAAATCACATCCATTTGATTTTGTTGGCATTTATTAAACTAAACTAAGTGTACAACAGTTCTAGACATTGCTGCTGGTTAGAAAAAGTAAGAAATTCTTCTAAGATATCCTTTACCTATTCAAATCGACTCCATTGGCATTAGCTCTACCCGTCAACCATTTGCGCTCAGCTGGATCCTGAAAAAAAAGCAACTTGTTTTTTCAAAGTATTTTTCAGCGACATTTGAGTTATTCCCATACACAAGCCTCTATCACCACCTACGCTTAGATCGCTTTTTCAGAATCCCCCCCCCCCCCCCGCTCTTCCCAAGTTCTCAGCTATGGGAATATCCGAGTGAAAGACTAGCTCTCGAGTCGCGTGTCAATAGAGTTAATCAGCGTTTGACGTCATCGGGCCGGATTGGCAAAGGAATGTGCATTTAGAGCAACTAACCGTGTTCAGAGCCTTTTCGAAGCCGTCGGGATTCATGGACGGCAGGATGTGGATTGAGGTCGAGTTCAAAAGCTGGATGACTTCCTAAAAAGAAAGTCTCAAAAGCTTTTTTAAGCCTAAAAATCGAAGCAGGAAAATACAGAAGTTGGGCTCTTCGTAACTTAGATCTGTGTCTAATAAAAAATAATTTCATTGATACTTTGTACGTCATCGTGATTTTTTACGTTTGCAGTACGAGTGAAAGAGTTCAGATTTCTTCCAACCCCCAAACTGATTTTATAATTATGACTCAATTCCAAAGATTATGCTTAACAAACCTTATCCTTGTTAGTCGCAGATTCGCAGAGATAATCTGCTAGACGAATTAGCAATTCGCGACCGAGTGGTTCATTGCCGTGCATGTTTCCAACATATTTCATCTCAGGTTTCACTGAAAAAAATGCTTTTTTGAAATGAAATAATCAGTGATGTTTTTTTTTACTTCAGAAGTTATGAGCGTTGGAAATATGTGATAGGTGCTTCAGAATATGGATCAGCAATACTTCGAATTTTCATCGAATTTTGAGCAATTTATACATTTGGAAATAATCAGTATTCTAGGTAAAATGGCATTTTTGATTACAGAGCTTACGAAGCAAATATTGACAGAAAAGAGGTGAAAGATGCTTTATTTGATAAGGTTCGAGCAAAAACCCGATTTTGGAGAGATTTTGAACTTTTTATGGAATTTGGATAATTGATCCTGTACAAATATGAAGTTTTTATTTTTCAGATTTGCCCATACGAAAATATTCGTTTTAAAGCCCAGGGAAAAAATAAAAGAAATGTAAACTGTCTTGTTCTATTGAAGCTTGCTCTACCCTATTTTCATCGTTTATCAAGCTTGATATCCTATTTTTGCGGAAGGCGGAAGGTATCGAGGCAAACGATATCTAGCTCTGTTATTGTTATTGCTGTTATTGTCATCGAAGATCTTCGTCACTTTCACTTGGCTACCTCAGCAAATTAATTGCTGCAAGAGCCAGAGAATGACGACTTAAAGGAAAAGAAGGCCATATCTATTCAGAATCTGTTTTGCCATCTCAATCTGTTTACATTTGCCTACGCAGAAGATGGAATTCATATGCTGTACCCATAAATAATAATGGTGAGTCGTCTACTAGGCAACACAACGTAGTGATGTTGATGTTGACGCAGATGGCAATGAAGGTACAAAAAGAAGAGGGCGTTTTGAGGCAATGTCCAGGGGAATCTAGGTACCACGATTTAATGTGAAATCAGAAGACAATGACCAAGTTTCTGAATTAGAGGCAACTCATGAGATTCATTTGCAGCAGAGAAATTCAACTTTAAACTCCCGCTCGGGACCGTATCCTCCGACTCGAGGAATCAGCGTCCGTCACGGGACTGGGCGAAAGCTTAGAGTCGCATTCCTTGTTAACGAATGAATTTTATAGGAGTTTAGGCATTTGTAAAAAAGACGCACGAATTGGTATAATATTGATATCCAGATCTGCAAAACCAGGACAAACAGAATGTACATGCAAATAAATAAACACTAAAGATAAAAACGTGAGCAAAAATGCTGAGAATGTACCCAATTCCTTAGAAAGAACAAAAAAAACATTTTGTTAACATAAGTAAAATGTAAACTTACATGCAACATGTGTTGATGGAGTGGTCGAGAACTGAATGACGACAAGTTCTCGTCCCTCTACTGATTGTCCGATACTGTAGAGAGTAGAAATCTGAAACTTTTTAATTTTTTAAACAAATCACAACTTCAATATAATCATTTTTTTTGTTTAGGTGCAGCACTAGCCTAGTTCTCAAGGTTCAGTCAGCTTGGGACATTTCCAGAAATTTTTTTTGCATGTATCTCACCTATTGGCGATTAGTACTAACAAATCAAAATTTCAAAATTTTTTAAGAGCTAATTTCTGTTGTGCTAGAATAGCGAAATCTGCTATTTCGTGCAGCTTATCCAGATTCTTCAAAAGAAAAAACTCAAAACAAATTTTCAAGCTTCATTTTCAAACAAAGAAGTCTTGCTTAGGCATCGTACTTTTAGCAAAAACTTAATACAATATCGCTTTTGCTTAAGACATTTTGTTGACTTATGACGAAAACCATGGGTTTTTTTGCATGTTTGAAATGCTGTTGGCCCACACATCATCTCTTGAATACAATGCTCTTTGGGGTAATTATTATGTGGAAATTCATCCATCAGGATTTGAAAGTTTTTCTAATTTACATTTTGTTTCTAAGTAAGGCTCTTCCATTTAGTGAATCCATTTGCTTAGATGTATTTGCATTTATAGAGAGAGTAAATGGCTTTGTGATCATATGCTCGGAGATTAAAATATCGTTTTCATATTCGCACACTTGGCAAAAGAGTTTAATATAGGATACGTCTAAACTTTTCAGATTTTTTGGCAGAGTTTGGAACTAATAATTTGAGATGGACATAGTCGCGTCTTCTTCTTTTGAAGGGAAGGAAAAAGCTTGGTATAGTAAATGTCCTGAAATGTCTTAAATCTGAAAGAAGCAGAAACGATTAACAAGGCTTCTTTGTCCCATTTCTTCTCAAAAAGTGCTCCCCGCGTACGAGTAGACTTTGCTCGTTCCATCAATAGTTGCCTCAAGCGCTCACGTCACTCCTAATTGCAGATAATCTGCTTGTGTTTGCCAGTATCCTCATACATTAACTTTTGTCGGATCGCTCTGAAGTGAAGTAGACGACACAACACGGAAGTAACTGATTAGACTTCAGATTTTTTGTCAGAAGTCGCCTAGCAACCAGTGTTGGCATTTAAAGAATTCGCGAAAGTACTTCGTATTATTTAATGCTTCACTGTAAACAGTTTTCTCTACTTTATCAAGAATTTTCGAAATTTTTGATCAGTCATTCCAAATCGTGCTTTGCCAATGATAAGAAAGCACAACACTGGCCAGTTGTTCCGGCCTTATCGGAACATTCGCTACGTTATGACGCTTGAATTGCTAGCAGCAGCCCTAAAATTTGTTTTCGAGTGAGCATCGATAAAATATAGGTCAGCAGAAACTCACAGTGTTGTGCTCATGATTGGCTTTAGATGCGACAGTAAAACAAAAAGGAGAAATTTCTAATGTTTTTTAATGCGCAAACTCGTAGTTGAAAAGCATAAAGAACGGGAAAGACATCATGAAAGAGCTATGAAGAGAAATGTAGTTGTGATATTCTTTTAGTATGAGATTGTAGGACGTGGATGGTTATGTAAAGTGATGATTGACTTTTCGTTAGCACAACATAATCAGTCGATCAGAGGGTAATAAAATGTACACTGTTCTCAAATGGAATGAACTGAGACGGTCAACAAAACTGGAGTATACGATTTGTAAAAAACTTATTCTTTTGCTGACATGTGTACATAAGTTTAGTTCCAATGAAGATGTATGCACTACTACAGAATGGTCATTGCCAGATAGAAGTGCCGCTACTAACCTGAGAACATTTCTGGTTGATCTCCAAGAGTTTTTCGAGCATAGCCTCATGATCGTGATAGTGATCCCATTCCGAGGTAGACGAGCTTTTCGAGAACAGCCCCCCAAAAACACCTACTAGCAACGAAGAAAAAACGAAGACGTTGCCGACTGTCATCGTGGCCCGCGGCGGCTGAATGAACACCGTCGCCGCCGACGGCGGTGCGGATCGATGCCCGGCCGATGACGTCGTCACCGCCTCGAGCCGCAGAAGAGCTCCGGCTCTTCAGCGTGAGCTCCCAGGCGCCCGCCCCCGCACTTGCAACACTTCTCCATGTGCCCTTCTAAGCAAGCGATTAAGGGGAAGAGACGCTGAAATACTGGAAACCCTGTGGGATTTTCACTTCATAGTTGCTGTCATTTCACCACCTAAGATAAATTGTAACCTAGAAATGTTTTAGTATAGTACCATGTTAAGCAGGTTTATAGCTTACTGCAAAGCAGATGTCCTCTCTGATTTATCTCTGATGTATATTTTCCTGCACTAGATTCCAAATAAATTCCAGTATGCTTTCTTTGTTACTCTAAAATGAAAAGTCTCCAGCTGGAGGTGAATATAACAAAAATCAATGGAGTTTTAGTGTAGATACATCGTTCAGAAAATGAATATCATTGTAAACGGATTAGCTGTTAAAGCACATATTTATTAGATGGATGTTTATCGCATCCTGACTGTATTAATGCAGACAATTGAAGTCATAAATAGAGTCGTAATTTTTTTTAGCTGTCTGACACAAAATAGTCTACAGTATCTCGTATTTTGAGTGCTTACTGGGCTGGCTTTTGTTGCTTTTCCATTCGTTTTGTCGTTCACAACACCTATATGTAAAATAAGTTCTTTTTTTCTCTGCTTCGACTTTCTATCCTATCCCTCAGCCTTAAAATGCGTGTAAGGAATAAACGTCGTTGCTTACTCGGCAACAGCGGAAATGAACCGCGGTGACGTCATCTTACAGACAGAACAACAACTCTCAATAGATTATCTTGCAAGCTGCTGCATCGAAAAAATAAGGATTTTGCGTGGGATAATGATGAGGATTCATTTACTGCAATTCAAAACCGAAACCGTATATCACCATATCACATTGTTCCCAAGTTCAAGTGAATAACGTGTTTCGTGGATAACTGCGAAGAATCTTCCATATAATTGCGAAGAATCTCTTTATCTATGACTTCGAATAGTTATTTTAGCAAAGGTTCATGACTTCGGGTTTTATTCATCAGGTCTTGTCTGGCAGGTAATTTCCTCCGAGATTCCAGTGCTACAATATAACTCTTGATACTGTGTACCCAAGCAATATTTAAGAATGTGACAAGTTCGATAAATAATGCATTTTTCCATATATTACTATGATCTTACTCGCATGCTATTTGGACGAAAGAGCATGGATCATCGACATGCGAGGATTTCTAATTAGCTCCGCGCATGCAGCCATTTCTCTTTCAGTCTCATATGAAACAGCTCAAAAATTCGTGACATGCAACAAAAAAATGGGGAATGAACTGAATGGAGTCAACATATGAATATATTACTCCGTCAGAAGTATTTGAATAAAAGAATCTCTCACGAGCTCGGTGATGTGGCATAAATTTGGCTGAGCAAGTAAGCTTTGTCAAGAATGAAGAGTGACAAGTGTCCTCTAATTACCAAAGACTGTATTGAAGTACTTTTCTAATTGACTTAAATATATCCATTGTTTCTGAGCATTCCGTTCCTCATAGCCCCATCTGGCTTCACTAATTAGTTTTTCTTTATTTGTGATGCAGTTGAGGTGCCATTATGGTCATATGGACATGAAAATTTTGTCTCTTAAGAGTTCCCTAACTGTTGAAAGAGGAAGAAAATGTGTAGGCAAAAATAAAAAGTGCATGATTTTATGACGATAACCATCAAGTTTTGGAAAAAACTGAGGGCCAAAAAATTCATTCAGCATTTCAGATTCAGCAGCAAATTCATTTCCGCATGCTAAATGCCTGTAGTGATGTTTTGAATTATACTAAAAACACTTTCGACGTTCTGTTGAGTAAGATGTTCATGTGATGTATTATTCGCAAACGTTTCTCAGTCTTTCATGATTTATAAGAAATTTTGTTTCGTAGAAGGTGGCTTATATGATTTTGGATACTTGTTAATATGTTCACTGTCATACTGCTTGTGTTCTAATTTTTCCTATTGCCAAATATTTTGGTCTCATTGACATGGTTCCCATGGATGAAGCCTCATTTTATTACTATTGAACACAAGCAAAAACATATGCACAGTTCATCCAGAAAATGTGATAGAATCTCAAATGGCCTACACTAAGCACTGCGTGACCATCTTCCCTCTTTGTGAAATAAGCAAGTGAACTGATCTGGACTCAAACAACACTTATAAGGTTTATTGGTTGTTTACACAGGCTCAAACATCACAAATGCTAATCAACATGAAAGCTTTCGAGAGGATTAGCAGCCTTTGAAAATCAACAGATGAGTTTAGGCTTATCTTGAACGGTTCGCAAAGACAAAGAATTCCTATTAGAACTAGAAATGATAAAGAACTTGCTGATGTCTGCTTACCCGTCAGACGGAAAGAAACAGCGGGATACGTTTAGTTCGTAGCTGTTTGAAGGAAGTCAACATTTACATCACAAATCTTTTACAACGTCTTATGGTCTTCGGATACATCCGGTCGATTCGATGTACAAATTTCTTGAAAGCCCTGAAAAAAAAGACCCGATAAGACTAACATCATAGACTTACAAAAAAGGAAAAAGAATAAAACATAGCTTGACGCAAGCGTCCAACACCTTTTTATTCTTAGAGCTCTACCCATTTGATTCCGTAAATATTCCCAAGCGCTCACCTATACCTCAACCTTGTCTGATGTTGTACAACAGCTGAATCCATGCTGGTTGTGACAGTCTTGATACCACGATGGACGTTGAACAATTGCGAAGCCAGCAAAAAAGTGTAATTAGCGCGGCACAGCTCATAAGCCTGAAAACCTTGCTAAATCTCCAATTCTGAAAATCTAGATGAGACTTAAGGTTTCTCAAATGACAGAAGTTGCTTGAAGGCGCATTTTTTTATTTCCCTTCTTCTCATATTTCTCGCGAATAAATCCTACCAATGCCTGCTGATCTCTGTGACGAGTTGGCATTCCTTCTTCACTCATCGGATCCGTAGCATGCATGATAAATTGCGGCTCCCATGCAGGATTTCTGCAACAATTAATTCGAATAAGTTCCTAAATTTAAGGAACACTGTTAAGTGAAGACTTATACTTGTTAGCCCTGTTTCTTACGTAATATACAATAAAATATATACAGTATACATGTAATAAACGAACTTGTACGGAATCTCCCAAACGTACGGTTCCGGTTGCGATTTGGACCTCCTAAACCATTCCCACAATGCTTCGATAGTATGGCCTAGGGGGAAGAGCTTGTGATGGTACTCAAACGCTCTAAAAAAGAGACCGTTACATATTCGAACACGGATATTTTAGATGAGACAGGGAACACACTACAATACATTTTGATTGGGAGATATTTAATCCATCATAATAATTAGGCTGGGACATAAGTCTTGCAGAAACTCTAAAAAATAAAAATAACTAAACAACATTTTAATCTGTAAAATGTTCTTTCCAGTGTGCAAAATATATGAAATATTTCTCCATGCATAATAGAAATTTCAATCCGAACAAAATCAATTCGAAAGAAATTTGAAAATCACAACTTTATATGGAGAGATCCACAAGCACGAAATCATTTGAGTAAAAGAGCAGGTCATGAAATTTGGACTAAAAGCGAAATCAGGCGTTGCTATATGCTCCAGTATTTTCCCAAAAATCGTAAAAAATACCTGAAAGTAAGTACTTATTAGTTTTACCGCCGCACATAATGAAAACAATTTTTGTTCTAAGCTCTAGCAGAACCCGCATGTTTTTTCTCCTGTTTCTCTCTCTATTCATTATATCGAACAAGTTCATTACATCTTAATGATCTTAGGATTTTCCAAAAATTGTGGTGCAGTACTTATGTTCCAACGTGATACAATTATAAAATAGCATATATTCAGTAATCCACCTCTGATTTTTTGAGCGTTAATTGTTCAAAGTTAGTTATTAAATTATCAAAAACTCTGTCATTTCAAGAGTTGAAAATAAAGGCGAATTTTCACATTTTACATCAGTGTACATTATACGTTACTGTTTTGGATTTTTAATCTTGAAGAACTCAAATTTTATTTTGAAAATAACTATGAACGATAGAAGCTGCTCAAACTTACATCTTATCATCAATTAGCTCCTTGAGACTAGTGTGATTACGAGGTACTGTTGCATTTTCCTTGATCTCGAACCTCCTAGAGATAATTCATTTGTATCGTAATAGATTTTTTGAGAGGGAAGAAAATTCAGCACACCTTATCACTATCAATTTCTTCGCACCTTCCTTGATATGCTCATTGGCTATTTTTTTGGCGTTCTCAGCGAAATTCAAGCTGAAATTAAGAAGAGTAACGCACAGTGGGCATTGAAAAGCTATTTTGGTCAAATAATGAAACTGCACTTACCTGAAAACCATTTCAATATCGCTAATGAGATGAATAAGCGACGGAGCCCCACGCCGCGCTACATTTCGCATAACATTTATTGGATAAATGCCAAAAGGTGGCAGCAAATTTTCCAGAAATCTCTTTCCTGGAAAATAATAGTGACACTTTTGATGACACAAACAGAGGATATGCCAAATTTTAAACTTCTCCAAGACATCACTGCAAATATCTTATTTGTTGAAAAAAGACTGAAAATGTGTAACTGGACCACGATAAGACCACATTTTACATGAGAGATAAAAAACACATGCAATGTATTTCCGTTCTTCAATTATCTATGACAAAGCAGGTAATGACTACTTTGTAGTAGATTGCCTCTTTTACAATTCAAAAAAGGATCACAATTCTTTAGCTCTTGCTACCTATGCATATACTCTTTTTCTCCAACAATTGAAAACGATTTTGAAGAATTTGTTCCCTTACTGTATCGTTTCGTAAGATTTTTACAAGGCATCGACTGCGACATCAGCGGAAGTGGATAGCAGCGTTCTTGAAAAGCTGATAGTTTGTAGACAACGTGAAGAGAGAGCTGTAACCAAAAATACGAACTCATGTGGTATCCTATTAAAGAAGTAGCTGTAGGAAAGTTAAGACCTTAGCTCTGTACTCATCGCGACATCTGTATAGATCGAGAAGATATTGTACAGCAGAAGCAGAGCCTCGGTCGATAAAGAAAGCTAACGATACGGGGCCATCCCAAGATTGGATCTGAAGATTTTTAGCGAACAGGTGTCTTTAAATAATGACTCTGCTACCTGCTCATCTAATAGATGAAGGTACAACGATGTACTGTGAATAGCTAAAGTGATAGGTTCAAGGTTGTCCTCGCGGAAACTGAAAAAAATCTTGCAGTAAAAAAAGTTTTGAAAACATTTTTTTCTCGGAATAACTTAAAAAAAAAATCAAAAATAATTACTGGGAATTTGTTTTTGTTATCAACTTTGCGAAGTATTGATTTAGCGTTTCAGAAGGTCTAACTCGGTATATTGTCAAGTGATTCTTTTCTTCTAACATGTGAAAAGCTGATCCAAACTTGGAAAAAAGTTGAAAGAAGAGCGCTACTATGCATTTGTCCTAACGAATTCGCTGATTTTAAATGGGTTCCTTTGTCTTTTCCAAAACCAAGCAATGAGACCATTACAAGCAGTCATAGTAGCAGGCAAAGTCAGAAATCTGCTTTATGAGAAACTTATCTGAGCTTCATTTTACAATTTGCTCACAAGTTGAAATATTGTTCATGCATACATTCCCTTCATCGCTCGCACCAAATATATTGGGCTGGAACCTTGTACCAAAGACTCGACTGAACTGAATTCATAAATGTTCAACTTATCACGGGAGGGGGGGGGGCAAAAATTTATTGCAAATGAAGGTGCATGGCGTTAGCCTCGCACTCCGAAAACTTTTTTTGGGGTGCTTCTTAAAATTTTTTCGGGCCCATAACCACTAAAATCTTAAAAAGGAGAGAAAAAAACGCCCCCGAAAAAAAAATTTACAAGGCTAATCTGAATTTTTAAGAAATTTTAAAAATTATTTCAAATATTTAAAGAACAAACAAGTCACTTGCACATTTTCATAACCCGTGTAAGTAAATTTCAAAAATTTCGCGACCCATTCTCGGGGTGGGGGATGCTCCCCACCCCCGGCCCGCCACTGCATAGCGCATATTTTCGCTGTGTGCTATGCTGTATTCTTCCACAAATGTTGGCTTCCATCAAATTAGTGAAAATTAGAAAAGAAAGCATAATTATTCAAAGATTGTTTCCTGGTTTGTTCAATAGAATTCGTATTTAGAAACAATGTATCATGGAACTCAAATCAGATTAGGATTTTATTCTACTAGTGACTCTGCTTTCAGCATTGCGATCCAGACCTAGGATACAGCACTTTTTTTGACAACGGAAAAAGCATGATATCCACCTTTCAAGACTATTAGCACAAGCTTTTGGTACTCAGTAGGAAATGGTCAGAACTTAACCCAGCCATTCCAAAGAAGTTGTATATATTCGAACTCGCCTTGAAAAGCTGATTTCAAATATATGTTTATTATCTGCCAAGCGACTATCTGGACGGAGTTATAAGCCAAATCAAATATGAGAAATTCTTCGATTTCGACGAATATATTTCCTTGAAAGGCAGCCTGGGCGCGGAATTACAGTGGCTACGGTTATTTTAATTGAAAGGGAAAAGTACATTCACAAAAACCTTGTGGTCTTGAAACCTATTCCGTGGAACATGCGCCACAGAACATTTGACAAATCGCACATTCAAACGATAATCCTCCCAGATAGTCGCTTGGCAGATAAAAAACCTATTTGGAATCGGTGTTTTAAAGCGACTCAGATAATATTTAGCTTAATATGGCTGGGTTTAGTTCTGACCATTTCAGGCTCAGAACACAAACCTTCGACTGGCTTTCGTGATATTATAGGCGATACAGTATCTGCTGCTGTGAACGGTAGTCGGGATATTGTTACTCTCTAATAAATCTCGTCTCTTGGAAATCCTGATGGTGATCTGAATATAGTTGAAGCTCGATAGAACGGCTAGGAATAGGAGAAGAGCACAGGCAGCTCTTTGCATCGAATGCGGTGATACCAAGCCTAGCACCTTCTTCCACTTAGGAGGCTTGTTCGTCCATAGAGGTGAGTAGGAGTGCTGTAAAGAGTTTTGAGTTTATCTGCATGTTATAGGGCAATCATTGGAAAGTGAGAATTTGGAAACTCGCAATGAAAATTCCAGAATCTTGACATTTACTGCTAAGACGTCAGGAATAACTGACACGAGAGTGAAAAAAATATCGAACAGGATCTTATGAACATTATTGTGTGATCAAAACTGACATGTGCCTAATAAAGATTGAAGAAAATGTACCTTTGGAACAGCAAACATCAGACCGCTCATTCGAGCTTCCGTAGCTCTAATTTTTAAATATCGATTACTCTTTGCAAAAAAATACTAATAGTGATTAGTGTGAAGTGGAAAAATGTATAGAGTATAATACCCAAATCGCCCTAAAAACGCGTGTTTAAAGCGGAGACTGGTTACTGAACCTGGTTCAGGCAAAGTCGTAAAGCGCTAAACTGAGGGGAAGGGTTCATATCCAAGCTCACAATAGAAAAATTCAATTAATTGTCCTACTTTTCCTGACACAAATCAAATGGACTCAAAATTACAGTCAAAGCTCGATGACAGCGTACAGTTTAATTCGGTTGTTAAGTGTGAGTTGGTAAGTCTAAGTCTAAAATGCAAAAGAGCTCATATATATACGTTCTATGAACCAAATTGAGTACACAGTTATACGTTGAAGCGTGCGACCTCATCGGACTCGCCAATGTTTGATCTTTATAATTGGAAGGGAGCGCAGAGCGCACATGAAGGTATAAGTTTCAATTTTTATAAAACTGATGATCACGCTATTTCATAGAATCAAGTTGTCCATATTCTACTCGTAAAAGAGTTGATTTTAAAAGATAGGAAGAAGGGATATAGAAAGAAATCACTTCATACACCATATACCCTGCACATACTTATACACACTCTGTGAACAAAAAATTTTACTCTTGGAAAGAAATGCTTGCCAGTTTTTGGAGAGTTGATCAATTTGAGCAGTTTACTATTGAAAGTTATAAGTAATAAAAAAGTTGTCTAGCAGCTGTAACGATGTGTTTTCAGATACCGATTTGGAAAAAAACATTCTAGTTTGTTGCGTTGCGAACAATCCCTTCAATCTATGGATTACCTAGGGATTATCTCACACATTCTTTATTGACTCTACTAACAACAGGGCTTACGTGGTGTGGTAGACTTACAGGTGACTGATAGGAGCAAAAGCTCCAATGTAAAAAAAGTAGGATCTATATATGTTTTCTCGTTGCTCCATTCCATTCGTCACATACAGCGATCTGAATTAGGCAACATTGGCAACGATGTATGATGCATGGAGTCCGAAGGACATGGACAAAACTTTATTGGATGACTAGCTGGCATACCCGGCTCCGCCGTATGTTCCGAATAGAAAATTCCATTTCTGAACCGATCCGCACCAAACTTGGCACACATACACTTTGGGCCCCGGCGGGTGTCATAGGGTACTTTTCGTCATCGATCGATATCGATTTTTCGATTTTTTGCAAAATGTGAGCTACGGGGCTGGGAGTTGGCACAGGGGGGGGGGGGGGTAATTGAGCATGGGGATTCCGAATACAATATTAGTTTTTGAAATCGTGCATTACTTTTATCGATTTTATCGATTTTTTTTGCAAAGTTTGAGCTCGGTTAAGAAATGGAATTTTCTATTCGGAACATACGGCGGAGCCGGGTATGCCAGCTAGTTGGATGATAATCATCGCGTACACAAAACCCGGGGCATTCATTCAAAGTTTAAGTCAATGTCTAAATAAAATGTAGTCATTCCATATGTTTGGCGAATGTGTCAAGTAATGCTTTGTTGCGGCTGGGACTGACTGTGACAATGATGACGAGATTCCACAAATTAGCCAAATTGAAATGCTAACAATGTTACAAGGAATTGAATTCAACGCAAGCAGCAGACATATGACTTCACTTAAGCGAAAACTTCAATTTCAGAGAAAAATTACTCAGCCGCGGTGGCATGAAGGTGATAAATTTCAAGCCGAAATCGCTGTTCTTTTTGCTAAAATTAGCAAAATGTTACGTGAGAGATCAAACAATGCAAAAGAAAATCTCCTTATATACGGTAGCTCCTGGATTAGTAGCAAATCTCGAAATTCATAATTTATGTAAATGAAGGAAGTAACATCTTTCTCTTGAAAACTTTTCAATTATGAAAGAATGACTCGTTTACAACAAACAGGAGGTATATGGCACCAAAAATAATGAGAAAAACGATCAAAAAGCAAAGCTCTTCTAAAATCTCGAAAGGGAGTGCCCAACTTTTTTTCTCAAATTATGGTGATCTCTACTAGTCATAAGTTTTTTCAGTCTTATGTGATATCTAATTTACAGGGTGTCCTAAAAGTATGTACACTGTTTGATCGTTAATATCTCTCTTCCCAAGAAGTCTTTTGCCTTCCTCTAAGCACCGTTTTGTAGAGCTGGCTTCAACTTAGATTTGCAGTATAGAATGAACCACCCATCTCTCTTCGTTACTGTAGGATTACGGTAGAAACTTCACAGAGGGTTTTGAGCCATGAAAGGCCATATTTTGCCTCAGAAATGAAACAAAACAGCCTGAAAACTTTTACACTAGATTAATTAGAGTTGTTGATTTTAATTGTAAAGTTCTTAATTTATTATGATGCTTCATTGAAGAGTTATGCGAGGTAAGCAGTAGCGGCCAATTTTTCAATGTTCCTAAAAAGTGCGGTCACACTGTTTCGAAAGCTTCGCAATCTTGTAAAAAGCTGATAGAACTCAGCGTCTATGAAAACCCTATCACACAAGTTTCCACATTTTTGAAAATTTTTGAAACGGCAGCTTTTTCCACATTGACACCATGTGTTTCAAGTTTCAACCGTAGTCCTACAGTAATGAAGAATTGTCGGTGATTCTCTCGATACTGTAACTCCAAGTTGAAGCCAGCTCTACAAAACGGTACCTGAAGCAAGGCAAAAAACTTCTTGGGAAGAGAGATATTAACGATCAAACAGTGTGTGCATACTTTTGGGACACCCTGTAAATATATGTATATCAATTGCTTAATAGTCTCCTTTGCTAAAAACCAGGGATAGCAACGAGATCCAAACTCAAGAAGGAAAGAGTTGCAATGTTAAGCAAATCAACAACTTTGAATGACCTGCGTTTTACGTCTCCATTATTCAATTCTAATGATTTCCTACTCTTTCTATGTAATATTGAACGTTTATCAATATCAGTGAATCACAGCCGGTCATTAGGCTTTTGTTCGCTTTACCACAATGTACTCGAACGTTCGCCCTCGTCAACTTCTGATAAGGTTATATTCTGCTTTTAACGTAAGCAAGGGACAAATAGTGTTTTTTTATCAGCCCGTTTCGCGGCAGCGATGCAAGCACGGCTTGGAGCGCAGACAAGTTGCAGGTAAGCCTGTGCGCGAGAGCACCCTCGCCCTTTCGACCTTCGTTTTCATTTATGATTATCTTTGTATCATACTTGGCTACGTTGTGGGCACCCCCCCCCCCCCCCTCCCCGCCCGCAGTTGAGGATTTTGTGTAGAGCGGTTGAGCCGTTTGGGATATTCTAGATTGGATGCGCGTGAGCACGAGGAAACCAGGTTCGTAGATAAACATTGTACGGGAGTAGAGCTGGTGAGTGCACCGTTCCATGGGCTGGGTCCCCTACAGCCAGCTCTGAGGACCTTAGAATTTCGGATTAGATTGAGCTTCTGGTGCATCGGCAGGTGTTTCATTTTTATTAAACCCTTTGGAGTACGAGTCGTTTAGTTTAGTAGTGTCTCTTTGTTATTTGTTTCTGGTATTCATTTTTTAGTATATAAACTCATTTGAACTAGTTGTGTTTTTGTACGGGTTAGTTGTTAAGATGACCGCGTTGAGTAAACGCGCCGTAGGGGCCCATTCGGTGGTGGACGCGTAACGTCCTAAGGCTGGTTTGTGGGGGGAATGCGAGGATAGGGAGTGCTGGCCCACCGAGCAGCTACATCCCGCGCGAGTCTCGATTGTGCAATCAAGAACTTTTGATTGAACTAGTATAAACTAGTATGAACCTCATATGAACCTCATCATCTCGTATTGACTACTTCCAAATGTGAATAAAGAAATTCTATAAGATTATACTCTGATCAAACGCACTCTAGTTTTCACACAACGTCTTGTGACGGTTGAGCTATGGAACCTTGAGTTCCACTTTCCACCTCTAAAAATCTCAGCAGCTTTTCCTGGCATGCCGAAGCTGAAGTGCGGAAAAGAACAGTACTAACTCTGCGCATCCACTCCAGCCTCCATTACCAGACAGATGCTGAGAGAAACGCATTAGTTCCAAACTCCCTCGTAAAGATATGATGTAACTATACTAAATTATTAGGTTGTAGAAAAGAAAGTGCTGCCAAGTTCTGCCAATAGACTTTGAGCTAAATTGTTTTATTTATATCTTCATCATGTGTGGCTGTCATTCAGCGATATTTTGGCCATGGTACTGATAAACTTAGACTACTAATACTAATAGGTACGCCGTAGATGCTCTTTTTCAAGAAACGCGCTGACTGCGTTTTGAAACAGATGGCGAGTTCGATTTTTTGACCCTTAAATTCAATGAGTCATTTCTTGCTTGGAAAGAGGCCCAGGTACCGGGGCAAGTGATAATCGGATAGCGTTTCATCTAGCCAATATACAGGATATAAAACGGCTTTTCAGTTCAAGCTTTTGGAAGTTCTGCGCGTCTATAGTCGAAAAACGTGCCTTTTCGCAGACCTAAGCGCTACGGATTTTCTCCTTTTCTGAGCATTTCTTCCTAGTTGATCGTCATTTTTTCGAGATGAATAGCGTAGTGGGAGCTGGGCCATCACACACTAAAAACACATGACAAACCATCCCCTTGCATTCACATTCATTTTTGGTAATTATGAAAAGAATTGGCAGGAATTTCTTTACAACCTAATACATACATCATGATTAGGTCTTCTTCACTACAATTCGAGTTATCGCCGATGATGCGGTCTGATGTAAGCTACTCGCTATAATAAATTGATACCCTCAATTCACTTTACTGTGTCTTAACATGGCTTACTATTAACACGAAGCTTTCAAGCAACTTGAATGATCTGAAATAGGAAAGCCGACAACGTAGAGGTGTTTCCGAATAAATCATTTATTAACGAAAATTGACATCCTTGGACTAACAGTAAGTAGATAATTTGATTCGTAGTTCTTCATTGAAAACAAAAGAAACGATATCGCCACAGTTCAACTCAGAAATGAGTATTCAATTACTTATTTTAGGGAATGCATCCGGAAGCAGATCCTCATTTTCGCAACTGTAGGGAATAAAGAACGATGTTGAATCACATTATAAGATGAAGGCACTGACATATGGTTAGCCGTTTTTTTTATCAAAGTGCTTTCTTGAGCTCGGCAGTCGGCGATTCTAAATAAATTTACTTGAGAGAAGCTTGAGTTAGCAAACTGTAATTTTGGGTTGGGATACCGCAAAAAATAGGAAAGAAAGTTTGAAAAGATACAGGTCTGGTTTGAGAAAAAGCAAGCAAAGGAAGCACTATGTGAGTCTATGCAATGAAACTTGTCGAGCTAACGAACTCACTTTGTTGTTCTTCAGCTTCGGCTTTTCGTTGTTTATAGCACATCTTCACAATTCTATAAAAATAGCCCATGTAAATCAGCATGAACCCACGTGCTATCCCGGCAAGGCAAATCTGAAAATCCTTTTTTGAATTATTTTGAAAACAAAGATATCAACAAATACCTGAGCTAAACATCTGAACATATTACGCTCAGGAGATGCTCCAGCGGTGAGCATACCTAAATATATGCACATAAACTCCTCCGATATTTTGGAAGTACCATGTTACTCACTCAAATTCCATCCTTCAAATCCTATCGCTGTACAATAATTACCGCTCTCGATGTCCTTCACATGAGCTTCCGCAACTAGCGCAGGTGAGAAAAGACCAGCAGTATCAGAGATCAACTGGGTTTCTACAGGCATGTTGAGCGTCTCCAACTGAAAAAGGAAACTGTAAAGTAGGCAACTGTATAGAATGATACGAGCTTTGTTTTTGTTGATTTACATAAACAGGTTCGAGGAAGAATTGCTATAGCCATCATAGAGAGCATTTTAAACTGAATCAAATGTGGCTATTATGGCTTTACTTCCTGTATTATTTGAACTTCCAACCTAGCTGTTTCCAAGCGCAATATCAATAAGCTAAAATAACCTTGAATCCTTCAGTGTCCGTATTAGGGGGATACAACACAGATACGTTGATATTGTATGGGAAGAGTTCCATTTGCAGAGCATCGGCAAATCCTCTGAAGAAAAAAACATGTTTCACGTCAGTTATTTACAATATGTACAAACAGGGGAACTCCCTTCCCAATAGTCTCCTGCTTAGCTTCAAGTAATGTCCAGCTGAGCAGGCTTTAACTCAGATTTAGATCTGCTGTATGGAAGGAATCATCTACCGTTCCTCACTACCGGATTATGGTAGATCTCTGAAGAGGGCTTTGAGCCATCAATGGCCACATTTTCCCCCAGAATGGGTAAGTTGAAACAGGTTGGTTAACAAGTCGGAAACTTGTCAGTAGGTTGAAGTCGATGAGTCGATGACGTCGATGTTCATGAAAATGGAGTTCGCACTTTGTTGTGAGGTTTTTTTCACAAGTCACACCAAGAACCGCAGCAGCATTTTTCCAGTGTTTTCCAAAAATGTGGTTGAACCATTTAAAACGCTTGAAAAACTCCAAAAAAGTTGTTCAATAAAATCAGCATGTCATCCATTGCGAACGGTTCCAGTTTTTTTTTTGAAAATTTTTTATCGCAACGGCCTATTTCACAATGGCGCTGCGCGCTGGAAGTTCCGACCGTATTATGAAGCGACCAAAATCGATCAGTGATTCTCTAAATCTAACAATAAGAAGGGAAAGATAGTTAATCGAAATGACCTTTCAAGATGAGACGTTTGATGCCCTAAAAGGCATGGAACCCTGATTTCAATCTGCTTTCCATATCAGCGATGGAATTATGATCGAGGAGGGGAGGGGTGGGGGGGGGGGGCACGCGAAAGGCGACAATGTGCGCAAAATGCAAGCAGTGTAGAACCGCTCTTGCTAATTTCAACAAAATTTTACTAGTGGCATCGAGTCATGTATTTGCCCCCAACCCCTACCTTGGCGCCGCGTCGCTTTAGCAACCAAGAGTTTTGAAAGGCACAAAATTTGAGAATTGTCGCTTCCGCAACACACCCGTCGAGGAGTTTGAAGGTTTTTACGAGCAAAAATTTGAATGCATGATTAGTGTAAAATCGGTCGTAAACTTCTTCTAACGTTTAAATAGAGAGCGATTAGTGGATAAATTTCAACCAGGTATATTTATTGCACAGCGTGACTCGACAATCAATTCGACCCTTGGAATCATGTTGCGACTGATTTTATCCTCGCTGCGCTTCCAACTTTCTGCTCTCAAAAACGCGCATAACCACTCGCCCAAAAACCGCAGCAGACAAGAAAAGCAGATTTGGAATCAGCGTTTCATGCCCCTCTAAAAAGTTTCTGTCGCGTCACTATCTCAAAAGGTCACTTTAACTAACCCCTTTCCTTGAAAGTTGGAGCTAGTTCTACCAATGGTACCTGGAGCTGAGCAAAATTTTGTGGGAAGGGAGATATTAACTATTAAAGTGTGTATAGATTCTTGCAACACTGTGTATTTTCAAAATATGCGTGACGCCTACAAAACTTGCGCTAGTCAGTTGTTTTACGAGTTCTCGTCGTCTGCAAAGTGAACGAAAATTCGGATCGAGACATCTTGCGACTTTTCAGAACCGATTTTCAAGCCCGGTGGAATCCACCGCCAACGGACAGACAGCTGTTTAGTACGACATATAAATGAAAATACGTAGAATCATAATATTCTTTACTGGAAAGGTCACAGCGATGGGAACCAAAATGTATTTTTTTAGACGACAAGAAGTTATTGTAGGTTGCACAATGCGACAAAATCTGCGAAAACTTTTTCATGAAAAATTCAGAAGTATATCTTTTCATGTGATTTTCTGCAGCTCTTTTTCATTCAGTACCATATAAATCAAGTAACGGTACCTTAAAGCAAACTTCGTCGCAGAGTAAGCGGTATACCCATAGATGGCACACTGACCAGCAGCTGATGAAACAAAAGATATGTGACCGGAGCGTCTAGCCATCATATTGGTCACAACACATCGGGTAGCGTACACCTAAAAAAAACAAATATATTTTTTGAGGCTTTGCCAAAAACCTGAATAGAACCTACCGCGCTCAAATAGTTGAGACGCATCTGGTTTTCAAAATCGGCGACAGGCAGTAGGTGGAATGGACCCTTAATCAAAACTGGGTTATAGTTCAAAAATTTTTTATTACTACAACTTGATCTCCTACGCGAATTTTTATCAATGATGTATTTTGGAGAATTTTCAGAACTTTTCCTTGAGGCATACCTGAACACTTCCGCCTGCATTGTTGATAAGGACATCCACAGGACCGAGCTCAGCTTCAGCTCGATGTATCACCTCCTCCACCTGGATATTTCATTATAGCAAAGCACTTGTGCCAAAAAACCTAGAATGCAGCTGGTACCACGAACTACCTCGCTATAGCCCTTTGTTAGGTCCAAGGAGTACCACCGAACCTTCTGCTGCAAACCTCGCTGATCCGCAGCTGCTTGTAGCTCTTCACAGGTAGCCTTAAAATCTCATCTACATCGGCATTATTGTTTCCCTTTATAAGCTCTCTAAAATCGAAATATCTGTCTCACCTTCAGATCTTTTTCGTTTCTTGCTATTATAGAAACATTGCAACCACGCGAAATGAGCGACAGTGCCAGATGTTTGCCGATTCCTTTTGAACCACCTGTGGAGAGATAAAATCGCAGTGTTAAAGCTGCTATGAGTTTTTTGTCAGATAATCATGATCTTTTCACAATTTTTATTCGGTTGGTAAGTTCTGCAACATATTTTGTAACTTTTCTCTTTTTGACTGTGACGGATTCTTTTTTGGGCAAAATGTAGATTAGGTAGTAGACTACTAGACTAGTAGACTACAAACAGTTTGAATTCTGGTAGCGAAGTGGAGAAAATTCACGCATTTTTGGAAAGCTGGTCAATTCGAAGTTTTGAAGGGCGAAAAACTAAAAATACAGCTCTCACTCGCAACCAAACACATCAAGCCGAAACTGTATAGATCATTAGAGATTCCTCTGTCAACCATTTGGACACAGTTTCGGTTTGATTAGTTTGATTCAGACTGAGAACAGGTTTAATTTTGGTTTTCCGACCTTTGAAATCTCGGATCTTATGAAAAATGCATATATTTCCTCCACTTCGCTACCAAAATCTAAGGTTACGCAGGTTTGTAGCCTACTATCAATCTACATTACACCCAAAAATAAATGCTTCACAGTTAAAAAGAGAAAAATTACGAGATAAGTTGCGAAACTTATATGCTAACCTAACACATCCTTTTCTTTTCATAGCTTTTTCTTCGTAACTTCAAAGTCTCAGCCTTCCTATTATGGCTCCATAAAAGTGAAATTGCAAATTTTTGCGATGTGAGAATGGAGCTGAATCTCCACTTCAGTATCATTTATAAGATACTCTCGGTAGTATTATACATCATTTATTTGGTAAAATTCTGTAATATCAGGTCGTTCCGAAAGTTCTACCCGTTTTTCGACTTATCATAAAAACACGTGGATTGAACATGGGCAATTTTTTAAGGGGTGTGTTCCATGCAGATTTTCTTCCCTTTTCGAAAATCATGTTGTATTTCTGTTGTAGTCACAGAAAAATCACTGAAGTTTCGATCTCATAGTTTAACCACGCCCAACTTTAAAGATTCTTTAAAATTTTGGTTTGGAATTGGTGAAGAGTTTTGATAACAGCTGGATAAAACAAGCAAAGTGCAATACAACAATTTCATCTCCAGCCAGTTTTTTTATATTTATGTATTTATTTGTGTATTTTTTGAAATATCTCCAAAGTCTTCACTTCGCAAAGTCATGTACAACGCATTGAACACTGATAAATTTTCCAAATTTGAAAGCTCTGATTTCGACTATTATTGAAATAACGTGCTTCAAAGTATTGAATTTTGAAATTTAGGTACAACGAGTTCACAAATTTACAAAAATGATAACTTCATCCGCAAAGATTCTACAATTCGGGGTAAAACCGCCTGTCAGAAAAAGGAGAAGCTGCAGCTGCAGGAGCCTAACCTCCGAGTTGCTCATAGCTTGATGTTCTGTGAGGTATGGCTTGATCGACTATGAATTGTTAAATTTGAAAAACTCGAGATATTTTGTAAAACTAGCTAGAAATAAAAAATGTTGTATTGCACTTTCTTGCTCTATCCAGCTGTTTTCAAAACTCTCCAGAAGTTGAAAATGATAAAACTGCCAAACTTGAGCATGGTAAAGTAAAGACTATGGACCTCAATGTTTCAATGATCACCAGAGGAAATAGGTGCGCGAACACAATCACCGAGAAAAAGAAAAAAGCTGTGTCGAACAATGTCTAGAGCGTGTTTTCATAATGGGTCGAAAAAAAATGACGGATTTTCGGAATAATCTGATATAGATCGAATTGTGTATTGAGATATTATTCTCAGAATGTGCGTCCCAAAACAGGCCAGCAGAGAGATGATGTAGGGCTGTAATTTGTCTTGTCTCCAACAAAAAATTGTAAACTTGATGTGGACTGGAATGACCAATTGATTTTTGAAATGGTGAAATTCAGCGCAACCCACTAAAAATCAATAAAGATGATACCTACCTGTTACAACGGCATGCTTCTTTTTCAAAGAGAAATCTTTTCGGGATGGAATCGAGAAATACAAAACAATGATAAATATCAGAGTAAGGATGAATAAGATTATAGGAATAACTGCAATCCAAGGAGACATGATCTGTAAATGATATGTTTCAGATTTCATGGCTCCATGCAAAAATATCTACTTTTCGAAATGGAAGGATTTTTGAAAAGGATAGTACAAAACACAGATAGGTAGATAAAGAACTTTGTTATGAGTAGAGATGACAAAAGTGTCCGGTTATGTTAAATACGCAGCCAAGCGGGGAATTGCAGGTGCAGAACGATCACAGATAAAATCAGTTCGACCTGCTGATAAGATACTCTTCATCTATTGAGGGTTACGTTGTAAGTTGTCGAAGATGTCACAAGCCTAATATGCTTCCCACAGCACATCCTAAATAAAATTTGCCGAAACTAAAACGCAATCAGCGAATGCCGTTGCTTTCGAACTGTGTTACTTCATAAAAGAACAAATTCTATTGAGTGCATACATTAGTCACGGAATGAAAAAGCGGCAGAACAGAACCTGTGCTCAGATGGTATCGCAATTAAAGATGGTGTAGAGTGTGGCAAGCGAATATTACGATGAAATCTATTGAAGTGCCATTTTGGGAAATGAATTATTCTGTTGGGTTGTGAAGAAAATTTTCGGACACTTGCGAATTTTTTTCAGACTGCTGTAACTTCAAGTAAACCGGGTTTGCTCTTTTTTGGGAGCTCCAAAAGTTGCTGCAGAGGCAATATTGTCTACATGGTATGCCTATTTTGTTGGGTCTTCAGCACTTCATCTTGGGCCACCAGCATGCGCAGTAGAGAAGAAGGGACTCAAAAGGCATGAAGAGAGCTGGAGAGCTCATATACAGGGTAAGTAAATGTATGTACACACTGGTTGACCGTTACTATCTCCTTTCCCAAGAAGCCTTTTGCCTACCTTCAGGTAACATTTTGTAGAGCTGGCTTCAGCTTAGATTTGCAGTGTGGAGCGAATTACGGATCGCTGTTCACTAGTAAGACTACGGGGAGGGCAAGCGTTAGGCGACAAAACGTGCAAAACGCAAGCAACGTAAATCCCCTAACTCAAAACTATGCACCATTTTTTCATTGGCGTCGGGTAACGTATCGGCCCCGACCCCCACCCCCCTATTTTTGGCGGAGGAGACGTTTTGCACGGGGAGTTCTTTGGGGTACAAAAAATTGGGTTTGTCGCCTAACGCCCTACACCCAGATTACGGTAGGAACTTCCAGCTTATAGCGTCATTACAGATTTACCGTGTTCCTAAAAAAATTTCCAAAAAAATTTGGGAAGTAGTGTACTAGAGTTTTCAATCTCGCTGATATTATTATTCAAGTTTCTACGAGTTCGCAAAGCTTTTCAAATTGTAATCATGATTTTTGGAGTCTTGTAAAAACAACTGTTGCGGTCTACGGTCTACCTGGCATAACTTATGAAGGAAGCATTGCGGTAAAGTGCAAACATCATATTTGGTTTTTAGGCTTGAGTTGACCTAATATATATGTTTTTTGGTTGTTCGGTTTGCTTTCTAGGGCGAAATAGGGCTCTTGATGGCTCACAACCCTTCTTTAATTTTTTACCACAATCCTACAGTAATGAAGTGCGGATGATTCGCTCCATACTGTAAATCTAATCTTAAGTTGAAGCCAGGGCAAAAGAATTCTTGGAAAAAGAGATATCAACGATCAAACAGTGTATACATATTTTTGGGACACCCTGTATGTTAGTTGTGTAGAACTCTGCTGAGGCTGTTTATAGACTGTGTCACTATCTTAAAGCACACCTTGTAAAAAAAATTTTCTCTCGAAAAAATTTAAGAATCGGCATTTTTGCACCCTGAGAATGCTCCATTTTTCTTGTAACTGAGTATGAAGTCTTCTTTCTTTCCACGGAATAAACAATCTTTGATTGCTGCAAATATTGTTGGGGTAATTTCTTGCACATCTCTTGGACCCATCTCTAAGGTGTGGCGATTCTCACAAAAATGACGCCAACTGCGAAAACAAGTACGATTGAAGGCAAGTTTGAGAGCTTGCAATTCTTGTGCGCGTATTGTAAATCCGAGCACAGCTGCAGTACTGAAGTGGACAACCTCCCTTATTCAGAGTGAAATGTTTATTGTTGCACAGACTTATTTTTTGGTGTGTAGATCAGACACGGATTGACATATATGATAACTGGATGCGAGTCTGGAAAGTTTACGCACTCCTCTGCAAAATCATATGAAATAATTGTCGTTAACATTCCACCGAGTGCAAAAAAAAAATTAGTCTGAAAATGAACTTTCCAAAACTGCCCGGTAACTTTCTTTACAACCTAATTAGGGTGTCTCATAATTTTTTACCGTTTTTACTTTCTTCCGCATTAACTCATATTCTTCTCGTTTAGGAAAATATTCTGCGGTACCATTCGAAGGTGCGCTACTGTAGAGCAAACAAGCTCTACAAGACCGCACCTCGTTTTTGCTCAAAGTTTGTTTCACATAAAGTTCGAAGTTGAAATCTAAAAAGATCCAAATGCCCGAAAAGTCGGGAAAAGATCATATTTCCGTTTGGAAAGTTCCTACTAGCGTACTTGGCTTGCTTAAAGTCTTACTTGCTTGAGTATATACTTGAGCAAGTAAGACTTTGACATCAACCCGTAAATTTGCTTATTTTTCTATAACTAGAATTAGAGAAGCATACACCAAAATAGGCTAAAAATAAGAAAAGTAATCTTATTTGGTGTTTTTGCGCTAAATTTGGTATTTTTCAAAAACTATTGCCTGTAAATGGCCAAAAATTCAAGATTCACTTCCAAAAGTTCCTACTACAGATCGACCTAATTAAGAACAACCCAGCAAAGTTTTGGCGAAAACATGAGAATTATTTATTTCTCCATTTCTAGCGATGAAAATAATCAGATTTATTGCCAGATGTGCATAGTACATACCGGATCAAGTAGGAAGTCCGCGAGAATTTTTTTAACGATTTTTTCTCGACTTTTCGAAATTTTAGATCTTTTTGGATTTCGTCTTCGAACTTTATGTAGAACAAACCTGAACCAAATGGTTGGAAGGTATCTTGCTTGCTGCTGGCTTTGCTCTGTCGAATAGTACCGCAAAATCTATACTGAAATGAGAAGAATATGAGTTATTTCGGGACAAAGTGAGAACGGTAAAAAAAACATGGGACACCCTGCTAGAAGAAACCCTTCATATACAAATCACCTATTCAAGCTCAGCGGAGGGTACCGATACGGTGAACACAGCACAATTCTTTAGATAGGAACGAAAGCTCAAACAAATCGTAGCTTCTCGATTTCTCAATGGATAAGCATGCATCTGATCTTATTTGATAGAAGAAAGCATATGCTTCATGACGGCATATAGCCATCCCAATACGCCGACATTGATAAAAGCGGTGAAAATGTCTTAGATTTTGACTTTTTTCTGTTTGCTCATAAAAAATCTCCTGCTACGAAAAAGGATCTGCTTCTTCATAGTGAGCAAAGTTCGTGCTGGCTGATTTCTAAAAAGCTATGATTCTTTAGCCAGCAGCACAAAAAGCCAAATTTGACTTTTTTGCTTCTACTATCGGTCATTGCTATTTAGAGATATGATCAGCAAAAATCTTCTCAGTTAGGAAAAGCAGATCAAGAAACCTGTTACTGACTGTTTCCATTTTATTGCAAGTTTCAGGTTTTTTATGACTAAACACAGACAAATCTCCAGTTATTTTCTTCTACTGCTTCTATCTACGAAATGTGTGCATATCGGAAGGCAGCATATGCCATAAAGCACATTTCTTCTTCCAAACGAAGTTACATGCATGCTAAAGCGTTGAGAAATGGAAAAGATGAATTTTTGAAAACAATGCGACAAAAGTTTCGTTTCACTCAATCCTAAAAATGTGAGATTTTTCGATTTCCAATAAAATCTTCGGTATAACGATCGTTCCATAAGGTGAGAGGATTAGATGCACGATGAACACAAAGTAAGCATGGTGAAACACATGTGATACAAAACTCCTGACAGCATAGATCACACATTTATGCAAAAACTTGTTTACCAATTGAAACCGATAATTCAAATTCATCAAAATTCAGGATGCGTGAAAAAGCTTTTCTAAGGCTATAGCATAGTGAAGAAACCTTCGATGTAATCGAAGCACTCGGAATGCACCAGGGAAAAAAGTGAAAAACCATGAAAGCTGGTCTTGAGAACTACAGAAGTAGGATGTCTAACCCAATCGACAATATCGAACATGCAAGAAACCTCTCAGATTGTGCAAAGAAAATCAGCAAGCAAAGAAAGTGCTAGTAGATTGAAAGAAGTATCAATATACAAGGTGTCCCTAACAATGTGCCTACTGTTTAATTGTTAGTAACTCTCGAGTAATGAAGTCTTTCGAAAAGTTTTAGGTATCGTTTTGTAGAGCTGGTTTCACCTTTTTACAGTCTAGGGCGAATTACTGATCACACTTTAATACTGTAGGATTGCGATAGGAACTTTGAAGAGGGTTTTGAGCCATGAAACGCCATATTTTTCCTCAGAAAGGAAGCGAAACAATCTAGAAACTCCCACACTGGGCTATTTAGGGTTGCTGATTCTAAATGTAAGGTTTGCAATATGATGCTTGATTAGAAAATTATGCGAGGTAAGCGGTGCGGCCGTTTTTTTCAATGTTGCTATAAAGTGCGGTTACACCGTATAGAAAGCTTCGCAATCTTGTACATAATTGCGTACTGAAAGCAGCATCCATGCAAACCCTTTTACACAGTTTTCTTATTTTGGAATTTTCTTGAAATTCTTGAAATGGCAGCTTTTTCCCAGTGACACTTGTGATCGTTGATTCGCTCTATACTGTAAATCTAAGTTGAAAGCTGTTCTACAAAACGGTACCTAAAGCTTCTCGAAAGACTTCGCTACAAGAGAGTTAATAACGATCAAACAGTAGGCACATTTTTTGGAACACCCTGTAGGAGCAGTGGTGAAAGAGTCAAGGCCAAGCGTGGGATAGCCGAGTCAATATGATTGGACTGTTGCGCCAGGCAATGAAGCACGTTCACTCTCTTTCCGTCTCTGACTAGCCTGATCTCTGGAGAGTGAATTAAAATGCCCAATAATGGCAAGAACACCTATTCGTCCCAAGGCACCAAGGTAGAACTGAACAACAAGATTACGAAATAAATCACTGCACTGACTCCATACGTACCTGTGCAAGTGCTTGCAACATACTTCTTTCTGGAGATGCCCCAGCCGTAACCAGTCCTGCAAGTTAGTCTTCAGACTCAAGCTATGCTTTCGCGAATAACTAGCCTAAGAACCATCCCATCAAACCATTTGTGGTCAAGTAATTGCCATTCTCTATATCTCTAATGTGTGCTCTAGCGACTTCTTCAGCGGACACCAATCCAGCAACTGCAGTCATTTTGCGCATAATTACAGGCATCGTTGAAGTGTGGAAACTCTGAAAAAACAATAAACAGTGTGAAAAGTGGAGAAAATCAGCAACTGCTCAAACGATGCTTTGATCATACCCTAAAGTAATCCGTATCCGTATTAGGTGGACATAACACCGAGATGTTGATGTTATACGGTTCGAGCTCCATTTGAAGCGCATCCGCGAAGCCTCTAAATTTAGTCTTGAAACAGTGCATGTTAACTCTGGCAGTTTCTATGTTGAGGTGGAAGAATTAGAGCACACATCACTTTTATAAAAAGGAGATAGTATAGATAACCTGAGAGCGAACTTGCTGGCAGAATACGCTGTATATCCCCAAATCGCAAATTGACCAGCTGCAGAGGAAACAAAAGAGATGTGACCGCCTCCTCTAGATTTCATTCGAGGAACAACGTATCGTGTAGGAAATACCTTGAAATTTTTGTTTCAATGAAAGGTTTCTTAAGAACATAGTGATAACGATTTATTTTCGACATGCTACTTTGGCCCCGACAAAATGACACGTAGAAGATCGCAACCTACATGACTGTAAAAATTGAGGGCCATTTGCTCTTCACATGCAGACACTGGAAGATCATCAAAAGCACCCTAAGATAACAGTTTCAATATAAAATCACAAGATTGGACCAAAATGAACAAAACTAGGACCTGTAGAACGGTGCCAACATTATTGATGAGAACATCGATTGGTCCAAGCTCATGCTCTATTTGACCAAATACAGTTTCGATCTGTGATACATGACAATTGACAATAAATTTGGTATAGATAAAACTCGTTTACCTCGTCATATTTTTTGCTGAGATCAACTGAATACCAACGAACTTCCTGATGCTGATCACGGCTACTTGCAGCATCCTGGAGATCTTGGCAAGCACTCTAAACTTTAGTATTTTGAAATTGCGAGAACGGTTGATTATCGTTTGCGGATTATTTATGAACAACCTCTTGGTGAACCTCCCATTCTGTTATGATAAAATACAGGAGCGTGGACACTAGAGAAAAAAATTCAAACATACCTTGAGGTCTGCTTCATTTCTTGCAATTATTGAGACGTTGCAACCTTTTTCTATGAGACGAAATGCAAGCTCTTTACCAATGCCCTTAGATCCTCCTGGAATGCAGGAATTAACTATGTACAAATATTCACAGAACGATTCCCACCTGTGACAACAGCATGTTTCGCATTTAGACCGAATTTTCGACGCTTAGGTAAAACAAAGAATAGTAATGTGTGAACAGTAAGCAGTAATAATACGACTATGAGAAATGGAGGTAGTAGGTAAAACACCATTTCGGGTTGACGATCTTTCAAAAGACGGGTGTCAATAAGAAGTCTTCACCGGCTTCGAACTCCGTGAGCTGAAACGTTAGATATCCGATTCATGAGGCTCAATCAAATCAAACCACTAAAACCTCTAGTTTGTGCACTGCTAAACAATTTGACCAAAAGCAGAACTTTCGGGCATTGAACTCAACAGTTATAGGAAAATTTGGTAGATGGGAAGCGTAAGCAGTGAGTACTAAAGAATGATGAACAGGATCGTGTAACCGGCTTTTGCCATTGGCATTAGCCCACTTGCGACCAGTTCGGTTGTTGTGGATAACGAGTTTTATACATGCGGAAAACTATTCTTCAGATCAGCAGGTACTCTGTAGATCTTATGCCAAGAACAGATTCAAAACACATATAGGCAAAGGTGGAGGTGCAGGAACCTAGTGCGCGGTAAGATCAACAACGGAAAAAGCATCTATAGAAGACTGAAGAAAAAGAACCGGAGAATTGATCCCAGAAAAGGCAACTCTGTTCTATTGGCTTATGGTAATTGGGAAGGTATGGACAATGATTACTATCCGAGAAACTTCTTCTCTCAGAACCGGTCTTGGTTCACTATCATAAAATAAAGGTTTCGTGAAACTGCTTACATATAGAAGAAGAACAGGAAAGCGAAGATAGAAAAACATAACATACATAACATACATAACAAACAGCAAACAGCAAGAACAAGAATTAATAAACAGGATCAAATTCTTTCTAAAAATTTCGTACCGAAAAAAAGTGGGCTGCAATCGTTCTTCCTTGATACTGACCACTGATTGTCAACGCAGCCCAGACGAGCTGGGCATCTTCACCACCAATTATGATGTTCCCTTTCTGAGTTACCTCATCATAGCCCCCAATCTGAATAAAGCTATTTTCTCAGAAATGAGTATCCGACAAGCTGCTCTCACCTGCACTTCCGGTCCACAAGTACCCAGCACTTTTGTAACAGACTGTCTTACGAACAACTCAAAATCACGCTCGGTGAATAAGCCATTGTCTGGTAGTTCGCTGAAGAAAAGCTTCGGATAGTTTAATGGACATGGAGCCAGTTTCTGGAGACTGGTAAAACTTAGGAAATAGATTATTACAAAAATGTGAGAGAAACTAACATCTTGACAGTTAAGCGCACGTAGGCAGCCGTGATTGCGTTCTTCTTTTTTGCCATCGAGTGACGTTTTAGGCCTGAACTGTATACCACTACCAGTTAAACTCACAAAATTGATAAAATCAAAAATCAAAATCAATCACTGTTCACACACGAGAAAACTCAATAAACTCAGCCTTTTCAACCATAAAGATCTGGAAAAATCGGAAGAAAATTCTAATGATGCGTAGTTGTAGTAAGGACGGAAATAATCTCAAACGATTTTGGAATAAGTCTACTACGCTGCTGGATAGGAATGGCAACGCGTTCTGCACTTTTCTTAGTTTCGTGCAAATCTCAGACAAGAAGTGCCATAAACATAAATATGAAGTACTGATAACGAAGAATTTCTGGAATTAATCCACAAATGAATGATAGATTCAAAGCAGAAGAATAAAGAATATCCCTGCGAGTATCGCTTAAGTTACAGTATCGAGAATATACCAAGCAATTTTATCAAAATTCGCAGACAAAGCGAACAAAGGTAGAAGAAACCACGTCTCAAATAGCTAACGCACAATGAATTAGCCAAAGAAGATACTACACAGCATCTATGTCTTCACTCGACTCGCTTCATACGAACTCTTCGGCGTTTCTCTCTCCCCGCCTTTTCTCCCATCATGTCCTTTATCCTGATTGCCCACCGCTGCTCCTTTCTCTTCATCTTCTGCTTTCGCATGCGTTTCGAACTTTTCAAAAGTAGCTCTATGTCGTCTCTGATTTTGACTCCTTCACTCTTCTTTAAAGCACGTTTCCATTTGAGGTCACTTTCAATCTCTACAGCTCGCCAAGGGTTCTTCTTTCGAAGTCTGTCCAGTGCCGCTTCTCTCTTCTGCACTTCACGAAGGAGTGATCTGTAATTCCTTCCAGTTAAACTGTGCTCTCGTTTCGACTTGCTCGACATAAGAAAATCAAACTTCGAAAAGGAGACGTTTGCCCTCTTTGTCGCTTCAATCTTCTTGCTGTACCTCTTGATCTCTCCATCGCTTGCTCTTCAATGACGTCCTCTTATCGCCTATGCCATGAGTTCTCGCAAAAACTGCTTTTTTCTGCAATATTTCATCAGTTTTCGTGGTCTGCTCTTTTTCGTCTTCGTTTTCACCACTTAAATTGTTGTCACGACCGATCACCGGTTGAAAAGTCTTCAGTCCTTCAAAGCTTGTACACCTTTCTTCCGATCTCCCACAGTATTTATCAACGCCACATTTGGAACGAATTCGTGCAGGGCTTTCTAATACTAATTCTGACTTTTTAGGTTGTACATCCTTCTCACTTGTTACAAGTATGTCAAAAACGTCCGAAATATGTCGACAGACTCCACCAGTAACCCGTGCCAATTGCTGCTTCTGAGTTTTGGTTAAAGTCTTCCTCTCCTTCTTTGTCAATTGGCTGTTCACCATGCAATGTTTCGTGCGGCGCAGGTGCGCAAAAGTATCGCTGCTGAAGCCCCACATCGTGACAGGTATAAAGTCACACTTTCTTCTCATGCTTGACTCGATCTGGGCGATTCTTGCCAATATGTTGACATCAGCTAATAGTTTACCCTTCGACATCTTTGACCTGTGTGCAAACAATTAGAAAATAAATTCCACGTCATGCCATCAAAGGACAATATTATGACCTCAAAAGCTCCAGTGAAGTATACATACAGGAGACGATTATAGTTAGACTGGCGTTTGATGATGCAATGTATATCTTCATAAAAATCATAAAATGTCTCGAATTTGTCTTCCTTAACGAGGAGCGTTTCTACGAGGAGGTGACGGAAATATGCTTGGAAACTGGCATATTGAAGCACGCGTGATGTGCCGCGCGCTTTTGTACATATTAGTCAAATGTAGCTCGGCGATATATATTTTCATTTGCTTCTCTCTTTTGGCAAGTCCGGTGCGTTGCGGTTCAAACGGGTTCGGACGGGTTTTGGCGCAGACTGAACGATGCCTGAGCGGTTAGGAGTTTTGACAATTGATCTTATACTGGGCATCCAATTTCTGCTCGGATATATGCTCACCTCGTCCAGAAACGCTCCGCAGATAAGAAGCAATCGAAGCGTTTTATGCTCTCCAGAATGGTGTACATCGCGTCTTGAAAGGCCACGAATAACCTTTTTCCCCTTGCCAAGCACAAGAAAGCGATATTGCATAGATTGTTAGCTGAGGCTGAACTTCAAATCACCAGGATCGGATCATATCAATCTACTAGTAAGAATTGGAAAAGCACATAGATATCGATAGCATTGAGGCAGAAGAACTGCAAAGGTACATCTTTTGAAGGTAGGTATGAACTGTGAAATAATTTATTAAGGCTTGCATAAGGATGCATCCGAAAAGACGTCGACTAAAGTGGAACAAAAAGAAACAGACATGTATATTCAAAAGCATTCATTCTGCTGCGCGAAAGAAATGATACATCACAATCAAAGAAAAAAGGCGAAGAACATTACAAATAATAAGAACACTCGTTCAGTGAAAACCGAAACTAGATCAAATGGATTCTGCATGTAAATACCTTAAAACATACCCATAGGGAAGAACTTTTGGATGAATGATTGATGCTCACATTTTCAAAAAGAAGCACCATTAATCTTGTATGTAAGATAGGAACTTCGCAAATAAAAACCTACGGTGTTTGTAAGAAAATGATGAGGAAGCATAATAATAAGTTTTGACTGAGTCATAAAGTGATGTTAATATTGGAACAAATAAGTGAGTATTTCTAAAAGAAGGCTGCAAGAAATGCAGTAGGTTATCTCATAGTGTGAAAAGTTGGTATTAGCATGGATAAGAAAGCTCAAAATTCTAGACAGCATCAATAATGCATCAGTGCACAAAAACAGTTCAATGGATGGAGGAATGAATACAAAAAACAAAACGCCACCTTCGATGGATACTGGTTCTCACAAAATTTTATACATGGAAGGACCACTATTCCAAAAAATGGCAAGATGTACTCGTTCCTCTAACCGTATTCAGTCACATTCTGGGACTTTACTGCACGGGTTACTCTTTCTTCGAATCACTACTGTACCGCGTTGGCGCTTCACTACTTCTAAGCGGTAGTGTAACAGCATTCGATTAAACTAAACCACATTCGCTCAGGAGCAAGATGAGAAAAGATACTCATGTGCAGAAAAAATAATGTGGTTTGTCTTCGAAACAGCAAACTTCATTCAAAAGCATTAGAAAGAAATGAGCAAAATGCAGAACGAAACAGCTTACCTTACCTACCTGCATGGAATTAGGTCGGTCTTTGATACGGAACTCTATCCCCATCTCCCCCCGACCGCCCTCAAGAGCGAATCTTTCCAGGCGCCTTTGTAGTTGAGACATCTGGAGTTTTTGCTGTAATCGACGAGCTCTTCTTTCTTCTATGGGATCCTTAAAAGAAGTCCGCGATTACGCTAAAGAGTCTGATCCAGATATCGAAACAAAGCAAAGAAAAACAACCATAGATCTCTTCCTAATAAGGGATTTACCCTGACAAACTCAAGTACAAGGGGAGTCAAATTTTGACGTCATCATCAACTTTTTTACGCATTACAGTAAAAAAAGAATTAAGCAATCTCACAAAGTCACCCTCGGTCACGGAGGGAGCGTACCCGACCCAGTCACTCTGCTCGTCATCGGCATCAGCTGCACAATTCCCGCCATCACTTTCACTTGTGGAAGAAAGGCAGGATTCGGCCCCGTCCCATTCCATTCTGCTATCTTAACATACCTGTATGGTATCAAATGTGAGAATCAAGACTGTTCTTCTCTATCCCAAGACCTCGGAGAGTTCACGCGATTTCATCGCCACAATTCTCCCAACAAGACAAACAGTTACGAGTCCATGGCATGCCGATCATCTTGCACTTCGGTTGTGATAGTTCTCTAACACGACCAGTCGTGACTAACTATCACAAACGAAATAATAATAAGATAGTAATAAGATAATCGACATGCAATGGACTCGTAACTGTTTGTCTGGTTAGGAGAATCGCGGCGATGAAGTTGCATGAACTCTGCCCGAGGCCTAAGGAGAACAAACAAACGAAAGTAAAGTATGAGCTAACATAGATTTGGGAGTAAAACTGACCAGGCTTAGACTGAGAAGACGACGGTTGTGGATCCACATCCATTTTGTAGCCTCGCGGTCGACGTACCAGTCGTTTTTTCTTCCTAAAGACATTGGGTACATACAATTTGCAGCAAATGATACTGTGATGTACAGGTCAGGTTGGAAAAGAATTTTCCCCTCAGTAATTAGTATGATGACTGATATCTGATAGTGAGAAAACGATTTAAAATCACAACACAAGCAGCATAGATGCATACGAATTCGAAAAACACACCTTACAGCCCTTGGCATATTTGGAGTTTCCGGAAGTGAATCAGATTCCAAAGTGACACAAGCTACGTGTGTTACCACTTTCTAAATGACAGATATGCTTGAGCTCCAGAATCAGTAACTATACATCATTATTTAAAAAAAATAACGAAGTTGTACGCGCTTGTAGATTGATATAGTTACTCACATCGCAATCTTCATCCAATTTTTCACATTTCTTCTCTAATCTTTCTTTGTCCTTTTCCGAATCTGTCATCAACCCTGAAAAGTGTCAATATTCAATCACATTAAGTAATTTTTCACTGACAAAATGACGATTTTGATCTGGAAGGAAGAATTCATCAAATATAGTGGTTCTTCTACTAGTCTTGCAGATTACTTATACTACAGGACTGAGGTACAGAGTATGCGCCAAAAGCATAAACATTGGTTGCACATGGCTTTCAGACGAGACTTTTTTGATGGAGAATCCGTTTCGTACACTGACACAAATTCTCCAACGGAAAACATCAAGGTCAACTGAAGCCGGAGATAATCAATGTTTTAAACAACATCAAAGCAAAAAACATTAGAATCTGGATATGCGAGCGCATTCTAGAGTGGTGTCGCTGAACGAATGGTTCTATCATCTCCATCAGAATGCCGTTTCTCAAAACGTATCTAATAATGACTATAGTTGAAAAAACTTTTTGATGGCGGTGCAGCGGTCGAATATTGAACATATGCGCGCCGCGACAAAATTCTCCGCGATGCATCTTCGTTCACGTAGAGCACAGTAGCAGGAATTTCACGGCAAACTAGTGGCCGCTTCAACAAACCTTGGTTGCAATCAACGATCGGTCGAAAGGCGATGGGCCGTCACTAACTAAAAAGAAAACAGAAAGGTTCCACATTCTTCCTCCCTGATTCCAATCCCGTGATCTTTCGTCACACTTTGTTAGAGAACTGCCATAGGTTGGCGGCAATTGCGTCCGACAATTGTTGCACGCCAATCACCATGCATCTCGCTTGTGATAGTAATTCGCAATCAGTCGAGTCGGAAAGGCTATCATAATCGAAAGCAAGATGATCCCCATGCAATGAAATCGTAACAGTTATCATGCTGAGAGAATCGCGACGATGAAATCGCGTGATATGCCCGGCCCTTTAGGCAAGGGACATACCTCAAGCGATTTCAGTCGCCACGCGATCTGGCAATTTGCCAGATGTCTTCAAATTCAATACTGGTAGACCCCAAATGCAGAGCATGTATAACCTTCGTAGGTTGATAAAATGCCCCATCCTCCGTACATTCAGAAACCCCGTAAGATGAGTTATGAACATTTGGAGTACTGCCAAATCGCGTGGCGACTGAAATCGCGTAAGGTATGTCCGAGGCTTTACCCCAATGCATACCTCACGCGATTTCAGTCGCCACGCGGTCTGGCAATTTGCCAGATGTCTTCAAATTCAATACTGCCCAGGCATTCGCCATTGACTTTCGCAGGACCCGCCGGGGCCCGAAGTGTATGTGTGCTAAGTTTAGTCCCGATCGGTTCAGAAATGGAATTTTCTATTCGGAACATACGTACACACAGACAGACAGATTTGGAATGCAGGGCTTGGAAAAAGGTCTACCGCCGTTTTCGCACCTTTTAAGAAGGATGAATCCAGCGTAGCGCATAAGCCCAAGTGAAAAAAGATCTAAAATTTGAGCTTTTTTGCTGGCAGTGCCTTTTAAGTATGCAAAAATCGGATTTCCACAGTTTGCAACAAGCCGAAATCGAAAGAACGAGCATCGCATGTCGAATTACTTCTTATGCTTCGACTACACTTTGGTATTGTGTTATCAGATTATCGTACTACCAGTGCCTCACCTCTGCTCCGCAGAGGCTCGCACTGGTTCTACTATCCACATGCCTTCCTCGTAGTTGCAAAATGATGGACTTGAAACTTACCGCACGATGCCGACATGACGAATGATTTGTAAACAGCTGCTCATTCCAAAAGCTTTTTAACGTAATATCGGTGATTTGAAAGGAAGAAAACTTCCTCCGAAAAGTTTAATGCAAAATTTAAATCAGTTGTTGGAGTTATTATGGCTTGATAGTCGCCATAAGGATGAAGACAACTTTGAGTTACATTTCTGAGCAAAAAACTTCTCAAATCCTTAGGTAAAACCTTGACAAATCGACTATCTAGGCAATTACTCTTTTTTGGGGCCAATGTTTGTGGAAGTAAACTTTTTGCTCACTTTCTGGGCTAAAGTCTTTGTTTGCGGATTTACTTGTTAAACAAATCCACAACTTTGCAAAAAATTTCAATTTACGATGCACTTTGGCGAGCCAAAAGTGCTTGGATCCGGTTAACGCACAGTTTTTGAAGGTTCCATTTATCGAATCGGCTTGAGCTTTTGCATAGTTTACCTGTATGGTGATAAGGTGCTATAGCCAAAATTCCAGCTCAAAATGTTTGCTAGAAATCGCTCCACGAATTTCGTGACAGACAGAAATTCACACACACACACACACAAACGTAAACAACCCTTAGCCCGTTATTATATTACCAGTGCGTCACCTCTGCTTCGCAGAGGCTCGCACTGGCCCTATTTTCTGTATGCGTTACTCATTCCCGCATAATAATAACATTGAAACTCACCGCGCTATGTAGGCTATCACGAATAATTCGTAAACAACTACTCATTCGTAGAGGTTTTCCATGTGAGGTCGGTATTTTCGCATGGACAAAATCTTTCTTGGAAGAACAGATGCAAATTCGAAAGGCTTTTGGAATTTTTATGGATTGGTAGTCGCCGTAAGGACAATAAACATAGTGGGCTACACCTCTGTGCGAAAATCTTCTCAAATAATCAGGTAAAATCTTGAAAAATTGACCATCAAGCAATCAATACTTTTCGGCGTCGTTTTTATAAAGTAGTAGACTTTTGATCCCTTTTTCGGAGCAAAGCCCATGGCTTGCACACTGAGATGCTAAGCACATCCACGACTCTGCAAAAAGTGGTGAAAGTATGAAAGTGGATGATGATGCTTCGCAGAGGATCGCACTGGACCTACTCTATAGTTTTTGAGCAATATCTCCTCTTAAGAAAGGCAAAGTGTGGTACGTCCACAGCAGGTACTGGCTCTATGCACCCCATAAATATGGTGCCGTGCGGGTCTGCGCGTCCATGCTTGTCCTCAGAGCTAAACAGCGCCCTGCATCATCTCTCAGATTGCTTTGAACCTCCCCGAAAAATTCTGATCGGGAAGAATATGATGTAAACAACCATTCATTCTGCGAGGTTTTTATGTGAAACCGGTAAAATTAGCGTGGCGAAACTTTTTGGTGAACGGTTAGTGTAATTTTGAATCCGTTATCAATGCGATGTTGGCTAATTAGAACAATAACAGATGCACGCTACATTCCCAGCCTAGAAGATTTCCAGCTATATAGTGAGTGTTTTGAAAATGAGCAGTTGAGTCATCTCTTTTTGACGCCACTTTTGCACGAAATTAACTTTTTGCTATTTATCTGCGATGAATTCCAGGGCTTAGAAGATGTCCAAGTTAAAAGTCTTACAGTTACTGCAGACTCCTTGCATTAGGATCTCATTTTTGCCTTAGCAAATGCCTGGTCGATCCGTTTGACTCGCGATTTCAACCGAAACAGATTCGCTCACTTCTTTACATAATCAACCTGGGTGCTGCTGGCGTGCTATAGCCAAAAAATCAGCTCGAAATATTGGCTGCAGCTTGCGCTATGAAATACACTGATTCGCAGAGGCTCGCTATGTCCTCCTACTCTGTACGCCTTACTCATTCATGCCTTGTGATGGCATTGAAACTCACCGGACGATGCCGAATATCACGAATAAAATGTAAACAACTACTCATTCCAAAAGCTTTTCCATGTGAGAACGGTAATTTTGAGAGGATGAAATTTTTCGCAGAAGAACAAATGCAAATCTAAATAGGTTCTTGAACTTTTTTCTGGCTAGGTACTTTCTATAAGGACAATAACACTCTGAGCCACATCTCTGTGCAAAAATCTTCTCAAATGCTCAAGTAAAACCTTGGCAAATCGACCATCGAGCAATCAATACTTTTCGGCGTCGTTTTTGTAAAGTAGTAGACTTTTGATCCCTTTTTTGGAGCAAAGCCCATGGCTTGCACATTGAGATGCTAAGCACATCCACGACTTTGCAAAAAGTGGTGATATGGATCCGATATGCGGGCCGAAAGCCAATTGGACCCGGCTGACGCGCAATTTCTGAGGGATCCACTTAACAGATCCGCTCGTGCTTTCGCATGGTGGACTTTTATACTGGTAGCATGCGCTATGCAAGATTTGGGCTCAGGACGTTGGCTGGAACTCGCGCTATGAATTTCGTGACAGACAGACATTCAGACACACACACACACACAAAAAAACGTAAACACCCTTAGCGCGTTATTATAGTAGGATCGTACTATGCTCAACTCTTACCATTCCTTGCACGATTCTCAAGAGATTATGTTGAAATTTATTAAACCGGTATTCTTTGCGAATCACCCATATATCAATGATAATTATGAGAAAATTAGAAAGAACGTCGTGCACGCAGACGCACTTCGTTGCTGTAGGCCAGTCCGTCATCACCGCCAGCGCTGACGGGAGGTGAAGGTGGTGGTTGTTCTTGCTCACCCTGTTCGTAATTCGAGTTGGACGGGAATTGCTAAAAGTCCTTTTTGTGTTTCACAAGGCAAGAAAGGAAGAAGAAACTTACACCCTCGCCAGATGATCCGGATCCTCCTCCACTTTGGCCTCCGCTACTGCCTCCGCCGGATGATCCAGAGCCAGATCCTCCTCCAGATCCGCCTGAGCTTCCTCCACCTTGTCCTCCACCGGATGAAGAGTCATAGCCGCCTTCTCCTCCGCTGCCTCCGCCAGATGATCCAGATCCAGAGTTTCCTCCAGTTTGGCCTCCGCTACTGCCTCCACCGGATGATCCAGAGCCAGACCCTCCTCCAGATCCGCCTGAGCTTCCTCCACCTTGTCCTCCACCGGATGAAGAGTCATAGCCGCCTTCTCCTCCGCTGCCTCCGCCAGATGATCCAGATCCAGAGCCTCCCCCAGTTTGTCCTCCGCTACCCCCGCCGGATGATCCAGATCCAGATCCTCCTCCACTTTGGCCTCCGCTACTTCCGCCAGATGATCCAGATCCAGATCCTCCTCCAGTTTGGCCTCCACTACTTCCTCCGCTAGATGATCCAGATCCATAATCTCCTCCACCTTGGCCTCCGCTACTGCCGCCGCCAGATGAACCAGATCCAGATCCTCCTCCAGTTTGGCCTCCACTACTTCCTCCGCTAGATGATCCAGATCCATAATCTCCTCCACCTTGGCCTCCGCTACTGCCGCCGCCGGATGAACCAGATCCAGATCCTCCTCCAGTTTGGCCTCCACTACTTCCTCCGCTAGATGATCCAGATCCATAATCTCCTCCACCTTGGCCTCCGCTACTGCCGCCGCCGGATGAACCACCACCAGAGCTTCCACCAGATGCTCCACCACCAGAGCTTCCACCAGAAGCTCCACCACCAGAGCTTCCGCCTGATGGACGGCCACCAGAACTACCAGATGCTCCACCACCAGAGCTTCCTCCAGAAGATCCAGGTCTTGCGCCACCAGAAGATCCAGGTCTTGGGATACCGCCTCCACTAGATCCTCCACCAACTTCGTAAGCGCCTGATTGTGAGGATCCAGATCCAGAGGAACCACCAGCTGAAGATCCACTTCCGCCGGACCCGCCACTCGAAGATCCGCGTCCTCCAGAACCGCCACTCGAAGGTCCAGATCCTCCGGAACCGCCACTCGAAGATCCGCTTCCTCCAGAACCGCCAGTCGAAGATCCGCTTCCTCCAGAACCGCCAGTCGAAGATCCGCTTCCTCCAGAACCGCCAGTTGGTGGGCGGATAGGTCCTCCAGGATTAGTAGGTGGACGAATAGGTCCTCCAGGATTAGTAGGTGGACGAATAGGTCCTCCAGGATTGTAAGGTAGAGGACTAGGTCCTCCAGGATTGCTGCCCGTTGACGAACCTCCGCTACCACCTGCTCCTGGTTCGCTGTTGTAGGCTTGCTGATCTCCACCATCCGAAGATGGCGGCTCTGAAGGCCCAACTTGGCTACCCTCTGCATCTTCGTAACCCGAGTTCTGCGATAATTGGGCGCGTGCGGCACCGATGGCCAACAAGAATACCAAGAATCGCATCTAAACTAAGAGTATTTAGTAGGAGGTTATAATTTGAGAGGTTTGAAAGAACTTGAAGAAGCTTGTATGAAGAAGAAGCGATTGTATGCCTAATTCTATAACAACGACCACCCCCGTTCTTTTATACTAGTGCGATTCACTTTGCTCGACTTTCGACACATTTCGATCCAGTAAGTTTTCTGTGTCAATTCGCGCATAGCACAACGTTATCGAGAACAACAACAAAGGCTGTGTTATCGGAGAACATGCGATAACAGACGGATATTGCTCCAGATTCGCTTTGTGTGTTCTCTTTCCATCATGTCGAGTAGATATATCTTCATTCAATCGTTCTGGTACAGCAATTTGTCTATGCGGTTGTCATCCAAATGATATATTACACGTTCATAGCTATCTCATAAATATTTCTTGTGCAAACAGTGTGTAACGCATTCTTAGCTATCCCGTAAATATCTCTAGACCAACAGTGAGTAACGCAGCAATTTTCCGAGAGAATCAAATAAGTTTCTAGCGCAAAAATTTTTTAAGAGTATCAATCAGGGCTCGGCACGAGCTGGCACCAGGAAATTTTCAAAACGAAGTCCCCCTTGACTTTTGTGAATTTTTACGAAGTCCCCTTTAATCCTCAACGATATCCCCCTCTAAAATCCTAAAAAATCCCCCAAAAACGCGTCGACTAATAAAAGGTCGCCGTCGCCAATTTTGCGTATATCTTCGCCCACAAAAACGAAACCCCCTTTGCTTTTTGCCCCAAAAACGATATCCAGCTTGCCCCGTGCCAGCTGGTGGTGCCAGGCCCTGATATCAATTAAGTTACTAGAAAATGTGAATGCTAAACCCTTTCCAAGTGAGAAATTTCTTGAAACAGTCTTCAAAATTCTACATGGCATTTGATGTAATGAAGGGTCTGATGTTCGCAAATGAAGTACCCTGTACCGACGGCAGTCTTGTAAGCAACCAAACTTGATTTCTTCATCTGATTCCACTTGCTGTTTATCTTGACTTCACCATGCTTTGCAATGCCGTGGGCTTCTTGCAAGCTAGCGTAATTAGCTAGACTAGAAAGGAGCTTATCCGTACTTTCGTTGACGAAAGCCTTAATCTTCTAAGGCAAAATCGTAACATTTTATATTTCAGTCCCTAATATGATGACTTGCTCTATAATAAGTATCGTGCTTGAAATAAAATGTGCAATGCCTAAAAATTGGATTATGACAGATTTTCCTTTGAAGCTCCGCACTACTGTCAAATAATGCAGAAGAGCACGTCAGAGATGAACCTGTATTTCAGGACACCATTTTGTTTTCGCTTCAGGAGTCGCAAGGTCTTCAACCCTGCCATCGCTGAGCAAAAGCTCGGTTGCCTTCATACGCGCCTGTACCTGCCGTTAGCCGCTTAGGAGCCGTTAGCCGCCGCTAGCCGCTTTAGCGATCCTGTGTGAAAATCGCCTATAGCTATATTTTGCTAAAACCTCTCTACGGGATTTTTTTGGCGCGCTGCTCACGAATATCACATTTATTCGCACATACATAGAGCCATATGGTGGAGTTACGGTAGGGTTACCGGACTCGTCAAAACCACAAATTTGCGCCAAACTTCGTCTAAGGGGATTATTTCACAGCTGAGCATAAAAATCGTATCAATTGCGTACGGTAGCGCCATTTTCTCGGGGACCCAAGCTTGCTTCGAACTTTGCCTGAAGGGGTTTTCCGATTTTGATCATAAACGTCATGCTCATTCGCTGCGACATCGCCTTCCTTCGGAGTTGAGATGATTTACAGTGTGTAGTTGAATCGTTCTGCGCTCTTCAGTACATTTAGATCCGAAAAGTCCACAAAAAAGGAGGCCTTATACGAAATGAGCGCAATATTCGTAATCAGCTTGTCAGCTAACCCATCTCCACAAAGTTTCAGGCAGATCTACCTATCATGACTCGGCGAAAAGGTCTCAAAACGGAGAATGATTAAATCGTATTCAGCATGCTGAATGACCCCTTCAGGCAGTGGCGTACCGAGGGGGGGGGGCGCCCCCCCCCCCCGAGAATGGTCGCGAAATTTTTGAAAGTTACTTAAATGCGTTATAAAAGTGTGCAAAGGACTTGTTTTTACTTGTAAATAATTAAAATAATTTTTAAAATTTTTTAAAAATTCAAATTAGCCTTGTAAAAAAAATTTTGTTGGGGGCGTGGCTACCTCCACGCCCCCTTTTTCTAGAATTTTGGGATCAGGAGCCCGGAAAAATTTTGGGAAACATACCAGAAAATTTTTTTTTGAGTGCGTGGCTGACGCGACGCACCTTCATTAGAAATTTTTTTGTCGCGCCGCCCCCCCCCCCGAGCCGAACTCCTGAGTACGCCACTGCTTCCAGGTTGAGTTTTGAGCAAATTTGACCATTGACTCATCACCGTACACCCAATAAATGAGCATCCTTCCCGATTCTGCAGTAGATAAACAGTATGAAAAGGCTGCTACTTTGGCAGCATGTTAAAGGTCCAAAAAGTCGATTTTGAGATTTTGTCTTTACTCGGGCCTCTTCGCTATGCTAAATCCGAAAATCCACACTAGAAAGCGGGAAAACGGCAAAAAAGGGCTCTAACGCAGGAGGGAAAGCAGAGGTGAGCGGGGTCCTCCCCAATATGAATTCACGCTCCCAGCTTCCGGAACGATCTTTTTGGTTTTCGTGTTCAAGTCAAGCGTACTTGGCCGGTGGAGATGTCAGCGAAATTGAGGAAATTGCTCCAGAAGCTTGGAGCGTAAATTCACATTGGGGAAGACCCCGCTCACCTCTGATTTCCGTCCTGCATTGGGACCTTTTTCCGCCATTTTCGCGCTTTTCAGTGTGGATCTTCGGATTCAGCCTAGCGAAGGCCAGGGTAGGCAAAGAACCTCAGAATAGAGTTTTGCCCGGACACTGCCTTTAATATGGCTACACTATTCAATTTCCAAGCCTTGTTTGATCATTTCTGAGAACTCGCAAATCTAATCAATATTAAATTGATGCAAAAGTAATGTCTTAGTTCAAGAAAAACTCAATAACTTTTTAAGTAATCAACCTAAATTCCTCAAATTGTTTTGCAAAAATAGTGGAAGGCCTGTGCTTTATGATAGTTGTTGAATCGTAAGTTTGTATGAACTAGGGACCGAGAACGAAGCCTTCAAAAATGGCGATTCAAAATTTGCGATTTTGAGTTAGGTTCTAGAAAGTTGCAGAGGCTTGCTAGCTAGCCCAAATCTGCAAAAATTTCTCACACAGCAAAACTCCACACGTTAATTCGGCAGGCTTCAATTCCGTATGGAAATGCAGAAACAAAAAATTTGAAGAAATTGTCATTTGGAGAGAAAATCCGGTTACTGCAGCAGTTTTCTCATAGAAACACAGTCTGTAACCAGACATTAGACCTAGTGCCTATTTTGAACACAGTGACGTTTTTTAAAGCGTCAAACATTGTTTTTGCCGAAAAATTGCAGTGATAAGGGGTTTTTCTAGGTGAAATGACATTTTTCACGAATTATTTGTTGCTGCATTTCCAAACCGGGTTGGAGCCTGCCAAATTGACATTTGGACTTTTGCTATGTAAGAAATTTTACAGATTTTTTTGGGCTAGCTAGCGACCCTCTGCAAATTTTTAGAACCAAACTCAAAATCACAAATTTTGAATCGCCATCTCTGAGATTTAACAACTGTCATAAAGCAGCACAGGGCTTCTACTATTTTTTGAAAACGAAGCAAGGAATTTAGGTTGAGTATTTAGAGAGTTATTGAATTTTACTCGAACATTACTTTTGCATCAACCTAATACTTTACACTCCGTTATTATATGGGTGTTTAATTGAGTTCTATCAATTTCAGAGGGCCAGCATCACCGGCTCGCTTCACCAAGAATTTGGCCAGTTGAATAAACTGATATTGACTTTGAACAAAGGCGAATGCTCGTAAGTAAATTCGTTTTCATTTCTATTTCGAGTAGATGGCTCAGAACCTTATTTCGCAAATTGTATAGTGTATGGCTGTGAATCGCAATAAATCTTGAAAAGGACTTGCATCGTTTATTGAAAAACCCGATTCACTTTACAAAGCTCTGTGAATCTCGTGAGCACGAGCTTTAGTGACGAAGTACGCGTACGCGGCGAGCACGGATACGGAATCCACGACGGCTCGGAAAGCGGTTTTGGGCGTAACTTCCAGCAGGAGGGGCTGGTACTGGTGCTGCAGCTGCTGGAGCAGATACTGGCGCTGGTGCTGGAACTGGCGCTGGAGCAGGTACTGGCGCTGGAGCTGGAACTGGTGCTGGAGCAACTGGAACTGGGGCAGGTACTGGGGATGGAACAACTGGAGTTGGAGCTACTGGTGATGGAATTACTGGAGTTGGAGCTACCGGTGATGGAACAACTGGAACGGGAGCAGGTACTGGCGCTGGAAGAGGTACTGCTGGAGCCACTGGAGCAGGCACTGGTGCTGGTACTGGGACTTGCTGAGCAGGTACTGACTGTGGTGCTGATCCACCGGCTCCTCCGGATGCGCCATCCGAGTTATAAGCTTGCTGATCGCCTCCGCCAGAGCTTGCTGGTACTGCAGGTGCGGGCTGGGCCACCTCAGCTGCCTCGTATCCCGAGTTCTGGGATTGTCCGTGAGCGAATGCCGTAGCGATGGCGAGGAAGAGGACTACTGAGCGCATCTGTAAATTAAAATTCAAGAGTTAGTACTGAATTTAGCGCTTGAATTGAAGGAGTGAGATTAATGAATTCTGTTGTATGCCAAATTAATTGCTGCAGAAAAAGACTTAAGGGTTGTTGATGTGGTCAGCGTAGATCTTTATATAGTGGTCTCGCCGTTCTGCCATGTATTCGATCCAATGAGTTTTTGACAAGCGTAACGCCTTGGACAAATTGAAGCAAACATATGTTTGAAGGTCAGAATTGTTCAATTGTATTTAGGCTCTCTTTCCAACAGAAAGCCTTATGGCTCGCGCTTTTCCTCCTTTGACGAAACAGTTCCACATACATAAAGCACTTAAAGCGGCAAAAGTACATGCAAAATGTTTTTCGGTTTAGATGAAATTACGATAGGGCTTTGATGACATCTTACGAAGTTTTGCGGCTATGATTTGAAGAAAACTGTATTAGTGAACTTCGTGAAGTGTTGACCGCTTTCCGTAAGATTCTGAACAAATGCTTTTTTTCATAGCCATTTTATAGGCTCTCAGCTGTTTATTGCTTTTACGCATGTAAGTCCGTTACCACTTGCTATGCAGCAAACCTATCTTCGAAAATTCTATGGTAGTGTCAATGATGATATTACAAAGGATCTTAGCACTAAGGATTTCGAGATTCAATGACATATAAATATTATGATCATACGTGGAAAGCTAGGGACATGCTCATTTCCACATTTTAGAAATTATAGTATAGCGCGTTGTTTATGCTTTAAAAGTACCAACTATTCCAAAATGCTTATCGCATGCTGTTAATCCTCATAATTGCATGAACAAAAAACTCTTCCGAAAGCTTTTGCTTATTCACTTTATAACTTTTAGACTACTATCCAGCTTGGAATCTTTTTTATGTGCAGGGAGTAATATCAAATGGCAATAAGATCGACAAACTCATGTGCGCGCACAAGTGTTGCTAGAAGACAACGCCGTGATACATTTACAATAAGTGGATACAGGCGAATTTAGTGGTATCGCTGGACCAATCTTTCTTTCTTTGGTTTTAAAAAATAAAGGATAAGGATTCGGTGTCTTCAATACCCTCTGCGGGCATGCGCCGTACACACTATCATAGTCGAAGAGGCTAGTGAATGCGTGCAACCCTTTCTATAGTGCCTTGCGAGGCCAGCCGATTACTAACAAGTCAGTACCCTATTTTCAGATGTATAAGCCGCGGAGTGGTCTTAGTTTACATCGACCAGCAGACATCAAGGACAACCCTATACCGTGCTGCGTAATGCTTGGAAGAATCGCGCGACATAAGGATCGCTTCTCGAAACACAATGAAGCGGAGCAGCTCGTTTAAAAATTTGAAAAAGTGCGGCTTATACGAAATGGGTACTTCCAATCGTTCAAATTAGTCTAGTACCAACTTAGCGGCCCGGAGGGTAGCGAACTTGCTTGACCCAGAAGCAGAATCGAACCAGGGTCCGATCTGCTCATAGGGGCGCCTCATACCAGAACGCTCGTCCCCCTTTTCCTGTTTTTCAACCAAGAACATGAGTTGGTTCACAGATGCTACCAAAGCTACATGCGACTTCGTCTTTCCTGGCTCCACAGGAGGAGAAATATGTTGGGACATAAATGAATGTCAGACGATGAGGAATACTATTACTCTTATTCTTACTAGTCGCAGCTCAAACAGAACATCGTGAGGTATTCGTAATAATGTCAAGATCTGACAAATTAACGGACTAGTACGGCTGTTTCATTTATGTCCCAAGAGTATGTATGTACTGTTTAATCAACGATTGTCACTTCTTTTAGAGCTTTTCGACTTACCACAGTGAAGGGCTGAATCGAATAAATTTACAGCATGACGCAAATTAAGGATCCCTCTTTGTTACAGTGGAACTCCTTTAGGATGCAGGTGGCTTTCATGCCAGCTAGAAACAATTTCTACTCAAAAAAGTTATAGAAATCAAAGTGTCGCTTGCTAAATCAAACTTTCATCGTTAAAAAAGGTTCATCGATGTGATAGCGTACGCGGAAGCTTAGCACATAAAATGTTTTCTATCTGGATCTTCTATATGAAGCAAATCACCATTTGCTCCCCAGTGATGCAGTTACGATGAATAATCAAACATCTTCAAGCAGCCAAGAGCGCATAGCATCCCTAAAGCTGGTGAGAGCAATTGCTTATCAAATGCCTAAAGACCTCTCAGAAAATTCCATTTTCCACACCCTTCTTAAAGGACAAATTCAGCAAAGCTGTTAGAAGTTTGCTATGCACGATTACAAAATGATGTGAGAATTATAGACATTTCTTTTTGATCTCAAAAAAAAACAGCTACTTCGGAACTGCGCATCTGCTCGACGAAATAGGTTGCGTGGTATGTCCTTTTGGAAAACTAGGGGACTGCTTGAAAAGTGGCTTCTTCTATCTTATCAAGTGTCAAAATGATGATGAATATTAAAGCGAGAGCAGACGGTCGCAATGTTTACGAGTCAAGAAGCACCTAGATGGACTTGTAAATTGTAATGCATCCACACCGCTAAGTGCCCATACCAAAACAGTTCATGACTCGGTATCCAACAAAGCTGCTCCAATTTTGTCCTGCGAATCTGAGACTATGGCGCGCAAAACGCTCGAAGCGTTTTGGATTTTTCGCGAAATCCAAAATTGAATCAGAAAGAAGGATGCATCATTGCAGTCACCGAATTGCCAAACCTTGTCTGGCTTGAAAGTGAAGTAAAGTAATTGAGAGATACGGCAGATGATATCCTACCTCTCTTGAGTTTGAGCGGCTACGTCGCTAACTTTAATTCAGTAAGGTGAGCACTGCTCCGCAGCTGTTTGTCTTTTGTAGATCGGCACCTCTAGTAGTAAAGACACATGCCAGTAAACCCATATAAATTTTATTTTAAGGCTCCGAAAAAGGCGTTGGCGCCGAGTCAGCCGATAAAAATTATCATACCCTAGTTGGCAAATCCGGCTCCGCCCGGCCCTGTCAATAACATATTTGTAATCAGCATGCTCGATTACCCCCCTTTGCCAACTCCCAGCCCCGCAGCCCAAATTTTGCAAAAAATCGATAAAATCGATATCGATCGATGACGAAAAGTAGCCTATGACACCCGCCGGGGCCCGAAGTGTATGTGTGCCAAGTTTGGTCCGGATCGGTTCAAAAATGGAATTTTCTATTCGGAACATACGTACACACAGACATACATACAGACATACATACAGACAAACAGACATTCGGCTTTATATATGAGATTCTTGACGTCGTTCAACAAGAAAGGATCAGAAAAATTAGAACATGCCGAGTTCTATCCAAGGTCAAACTTAAGAAGTAATCAGTGACGTTACCGAGGGAAGGGGGGGGGGTTCGAAGTGCATGGCTGACGCCACGCACCTTCATCAGAAAAATTTTTTTGGCCCTCCCCCCGGACGGAAATTCTGAGTACGCTACTGGAATAATATTTCCAAATAGGTTTCTCGACATTTATATTCGCAACTGAAGAGAGTCTGGAAGAGCAGCAGAGTTTCTATTCTGATACTTTCTTTGCTAAAATTCTGAGTACTTAGTTGTCTAGAAAAAAACTTGCATCTTACAAGGAAAGGAAGGTTGGTCGAAGTGGCCTTTTGAAATGAAATGTATACTGTCTCGTAGAGCTTGGAACGCTGATTCCAAAACTGCCTTCGCTATCTGCTGCGGGCTTCTGGGCAAGGAGTTATGAAGGTTTTTGGGAGTAAAAAGTTGATTGTAAAATTAGTGTAAAATCAGTCGTAACCAGGGTTGAGCGTGGGGTCAGGCGCGCCCGACCTGGGGGGTCGTACTGGGGGTAAGACAGAGGGGGGGGTCGTGATTAGGAATCGAATTCGTTCGATTGAGGAGATACTACGATTAAGGTGAAGAAGAGAAGCGCTAGTTTAGTGGATATCGCGACCTCACCAGTACTGAAGGAATGAACGGTCTAAAACAGCATACTGATTGATTCCACAATCGAAGTTTCGGCCAAAACTCAAATCTTCATCTTCTACCTTGACATATTATAAATTCATCAAGGAAGCTTGCTGTGTGAAATGGGTATCATTTCCGAGCACGTCAAATTACCTCTATGAGCCCTACAAACCATTATTTACTGCATTATCTAGTGTTTCTCAACGACTAAAAAGCGTGATTTTCAAACATGATTAACTTGTTTTCAAAAGTGAGAAAAGTCAATTTTTTTGTACTCGTAACAAAGTATTGTTCCCTACTAGTCTAGGCTAAAAATCGCGCTTTGTATCGCTTGCAAATAGTGGAGTAAGAAATAATGCCAAAATTCCGACCGGCGCGTTTTTCGCCATGACTGCTTCAACTCCACGGATTACCACAAGGCCGAAACAAGTCGAATCAAGTCCAAACACTTACTGTGGAATCTTCGAGGGTTGTGCTAGCGATTCACATAAAACTTGAATAAAAAAGCTTCTTCAATGATAAAGTTAATCGGGTCAGGCGCAACCCCACAAAAGGTCAGGCCGCCTGAGCTTTTAAGGGGTTGCGCCTGACCCGATTAACTTGTTTTCAAAATCTAAAAATCGCTCCATTTCTGCTATGAGTATTGAACTCAAAGCCTCTTCTTGCAATACTGCAAATTTGGAGCCAAACAATACACCCCTGTGGGAATTATAGCTCTAAAAGTAGGGCTATCCAAAATCCATAACTTGCCGTCAAGTTGCGTGTGCTGTGCAATCGCAGAAAGTCGACCTACAGACCTCCAAAAAACAAGAACCTCCCAAAAACGGCTGATCTCTTCGAATTATCACAGCCTGAGGTCCTGGAGGTGAAGCAGAGGGGTCGTTTAGGGGCTTTCACTGGGGGGGGGTCGTTTTGGGAAGAATTGTGCCTGACCTCTTGCTCAACCCTGGTCGTAACATTTTTCCTAGGGCTTAACTAATAGTCGGGTCATTCGGCGCAACAAATATTCTTGATTCGAATATACCAACTCGCTGCTGCTCCATTTGAACGTCAGAAAAA